CTTCATTCGCGTGGTGAAAAAGCTTATATTTTCAGCGGGTCCCAACCGCCCGTCTTCGGGACCCACGCACCAAAGCTAGTTTGCGCAAGGTCACCCTTCGCGCGCCCCAAGGCAAGACGCCGCTCCCTTCGGGGGCGGCGTGCGGCGGCGTGCGGCGGGGCGGGGGCGGGGGCGGGGGCGGGGCGCGAGGCGGGCGGGGGGCGGGGCGGGGGCGGCGGCGGGCAGCTGCTCGGCCGGAAGGGGGGCTTCACGCTTCCGGCTCCGCGCCGCCCGCGCCCGCGCATCGCCGTTGCGCTTCGCTCGCTTCGTCCAAAATTATCGAGGTAGGACACAACAGCACAGAAAAACGCGGGTGGGCGGCGGCGACATTCACAGAGCACGTTCATCGGGAAGCTGCAGCGGGGGAGCGCCGCGTGTGTGAGGAGAAAGTGATGACAGGCGCTTATTGTTTTTTTTATTATATATATATATATATATATTATATATATTATATATATATATATATATATATATATATATATTACTCGTATGTCTGTGTGTGCGCGCGCACGTATATATAAACACACACACACATTGTAAAACTTCAGGGACTTCCCAGCTCAAAATGGCGCAGAAACGTTGACCTAAGAATATTACAAGTTTTCTTTTTACGTTTCTTTAATTCTTTCTTTTTACTCGACACGACGTTGAGCTGCGATGTAATGCTGCGCGAAAAAAACCGTGAATTTTCGGCTGAAAAACTCTTTACTACAGGGCCCTGGTAACGAAAAAGTGGATAAATACAGTTGCTGAATTAAAAAATATAATCTAACACGTGATTTAGCCAGGATCATGTTTTGTAGGTCCTCGATATCAAAAAAATCGAATGACGGCAAACCGTCTGTCCGTCTGTGAACAACGCTTGCAGCTAAATCGTTCAGCCGATATTCTCCAAAATCGATACTTCCCAACCGATCTGTCTGATGTCGCAGCCCTTTGAATTTGAAACATTTTAATTTTGGGAGTACTTCATAGGAAGCCTATGGGATATTTTCAAACTTTTCAAAAATAATGACTCCATTGTTTTTTTATTAAATTGCAAGTGCAAGTCTCACGCTCGTTGAAAACCCTGATTTTTCAAAAATTGCAAAAGTTAAAAATTGTTAAGTAGTTTTCCTACAATTAAAATATTAAAAACATACATTTCCCCCCCTAAATTAAATCTGTTCCTTAAAATACATATTTAAATAAGGTCAAGTACAATTTTTCGAAAATGTGAGCACTTTTTGCGTGAAAATTCATGCTGTTTTATTACCGCTAGTTTGTTAAGAGAGGGCGGCAAACTTCTAGTCTACCCAACACAGCCCAATTTTGAGCTGTGACACAGCGAAACATTAATTAGAGGAATGGATCAATGGAATCCAGGCGATGAGAGGATGGAGCACGTGAAGTATCGACCACACAATGCTTATTGTTTTAAATTGTTTTCCTTTCGGAATGGGCACTCGCAATCATTTGAGAACTATCAAACTATGGCATTCATGTCTCTTAAAAAACTATTAATGAGAGGCCTCCAAAGTCAGAGTTCTTGAAAGAAGTCACCTACTTCTCAATAAAATATATGTGACAAAAAGAACATTAAGGTGCCCATAGTGATCAACCTGAATCTGACAAACAAGGCAATGTAGTATCAAACTCGTGAACAAAAAATTGAATCTCTTCATGTTATTATTACAGAGATTGCACTTCCTCCTGTACGTAAAACCTTTCGTTATTTTATCTCCAATTATTTTCAACAACTCGAATCCATCAGGTCAACCTTGTCAGAAGCAGAATTAAACACTGCAGAATCCATGATCTGCGAAACCTTTTCTTTCGAAGAGAGTTTACTGTGTGCTCTACGCAATTTTTCGCAGGATTGGTGCGCTTAATAAGGACCTACTTCTAGGCTCCGAGCGCAGCGCGGTGCTCCGTTTTCGTCGCGCTCTCCATCAATGGGTGACGTTCAAGGAAGCGGGCCACACCCTCGACACGTCCATGGAAAATCACGTCCCATGCCACATCCTCACGTGATTGAAATATTTCAATTTAGGGGACTAACAACTGTCAGGAAAGAATCGAGTTTGTCAGCTAGAACTTAGATAATGTCTCAATTTCATTACATTTTTTTCTGGAAGAAATGTTATCACCCCATTCCAAGCAATGAAAGTGGCAAAGTTCTTCATATCTGGACAAGCAGCAAAATATATTCTTTACATTTTACCTTCTTAGAGGAGGTTGAACAGAAAAGACTGACAATTATTCAAAAAGTAAATTGGTATAAAAGTCTAATATAAATGGATATTCGGCAATCAGAAAGCGATGAGCTGAAAACATTCAATGAGGTAATCCACACATCAATTATGTTTTTTGGACACTGAATCAATTCTACAAAGTAACCTAGATAAGTAAGGCAAGGCCTGTTATTATGATCTTGAAATATCCTCCTTGAGTTCTTTTGAATGAAAGAGAAGCCGATTCAGGGGAGGAACGGACATGCTCATCCATCTTACATATTTTTGTAACTTTACTCAATTTATTCAAAACAATTATCATACAATATTTTCATTACAACATTGGTCAAGTGAGTTGTGCCTTGGATCTAACCGGCATTTTCACGATCTTTGTGTGTAAAAATAATTGTTGTCTTGTCGTCAAAACTTTGCTTTTGCAATAAGACTACAAAAATTGAATCTGTTCGAACTTCGCAAATTTTATAACTTTTGATTATTTAAAGATAAAATGGTAAAGAATAACTCGTTTTAAAGGAAATTGAATTATCTACAACTTCTACTCTCAGAACATTGCTTTAAAACTTAGGGGCGAGATGCTAGAAGACAACGTTTGTCGGAAACCGTGAGTCAATAGTTTTTAGTTTTGTTTTTTTAATTTACAATTATAGCTAGCAATTAACTCGAAATGCTATTGGGAACAGCAGAAAATGGATACCTAAAATCTCGAAAGCAATATTCTTATCTTTCACTTTGAATATAGAAACTTTTTAAACAATGTTTATAAGTTTGTTTTTGGACTGATTACTATATAAAAAGTCCCCGAACATGCGAGATGTGCGTGGTTCAGAAGGGAACCTTGAAGATCCCTATTTTGTTATTTACGAGTGATCTCAAGTAGAAAACTCTCTATAGTGTTTTCTTTAGTCGTGGCGACAAATAGTTAAAAACGGAACGAGACAAAATATGGATATTTTGACAAAGTTTTCGGGGTAACGGGGCGATCCCATATTTTATGGGACGTACACAAACCTCACATTAACAAATAGTAATTTTTCAGTACCAACATTATGATCAATGAAGCAATAAAAGCTCATCTCCACATTGTAGATCACACATGTTTTAATTTTTTGGTCGTTAAATAAATAATAAAACAAGAGATAACTATTTTGCACTAGCAGACCATCGATAGATCAACATTTCGGAACTGCCATATACTAATTGTTAATCTAAAAGCATCTGGAAACACATGCTCACCATATATACTCTCTGTGCTCAACATTTTACTCTACTTCATAGAAAATTAATTCCGTTCTCGTGTGCATTCTCAGAGGTACCGCTAAGATGTTCATATTCTCAAAACAATGTTAACGAAAAGCTTTTATTAATGATCACATGAAAATAAAGATAACTTCATTCTTCCAATCAGTTTCTCTCTAGAGTTTAATATTAGAAAAGATCAGCATTGTCATACAATTACAACAGGTTTCGGTAAACTACTATGCAATTTACAGGTACCATGAAATTTTCTGATCACCTATTAACTAAAAACTATTAGCGAATAAACAATTGCTGATAATTTTTAGTCTCGGAGTATTTTATTTTATTAACTACATCTGCCTTACAAATGTTCCTGTGCAACCCCACTTCAGATTCCAGCACATGGGATACAATCAAAATTAAAAGCCACAATCGGTAGCTCTTTTGTAGCAGGAAATAGTTTCTTAATAGAGGAGCGGATATTTCTATTAACTTTTTTCTTTTTCACAACAATCGTTACTACATTTATTCGTAATTCAACTTAATACAGTAAAACGTCGGAAATAGGGATTTCGGAGTTCTAGGAAACGTGCACAGTTAGTACTTCTCACCAGTATGTTACAGTTTTCAAGTGTTCTCGACGTTGAATTATAGTAAATACGACACTATTCTAGAAAATTAATAGCTCAATGCAAATCAAACTTCAAGGAAATTTTACGTTTTCTTCGGATGAATTGTTTGGGAAATTCGGTCTATGAGGTTTGGGGTATTAAACCTGATCTTTGAGCGACTTTTCATAGTAAAATTACTATATAGACTTTTAAAGACTCATCTTCACGTTTGTAACTTAAAAAGTTAAAACTTTGTTATTGTGCGAATCAACGACACACACCGGACGTGCACAACAGGTGTCTTTCTTTCTTCCTTAAGCACTCGAATATCGATCAAAACTGGGGGTGCTTTAAAGTTCTTCCACCTATGTACCACACGTGAAGTAACTTCAATTAACAAATCGGCTTTTCGTGCGAGGGGCAGCGATTTGACCCGAGAAAAGGTTGAAAAGCCGTGTAAACCGAATGTCAAAAAAGTACACCATAAACGCTGTCAGTAAATAATGCTATTTTTCTATAAACTAACTGCATCTTAATTATGTTCAGTGAACATTCCTTATTGTAGGTATACCACGAATTTAATTAATATTCTTCCAAATACAAGCATTTTTTCAGATTTTAAATAACATTCTTCGTACTCATACACTTCAACTTGCAAATGCTTCCGTCAGTTAATACAGTGCGTAATGTGCATGTGGTGTAAACAACAATAATCCATGGCAATATCAAAACAGTCGAATACTAACCATTCTCTCAAAACACGACACTTACTGATGAAGATTAAAATGGTACATATATGTAAATTATACAAAGAAAAAATGACAAATGCGTACTAATTTTATCCGAAACTACATTAACAATGAGGGTAATTACTACCTACCTTTCCATGTAAGGTAGAATTGTGAAGTTCATCCAGAGTTGGCCGGTATGCTGCTTGTATGGACATTATATTCCGGTAATTGTCAAGACGCGGCAGCGCTTCTCGGGTGAAATGTCGAAAGCTTTTAGCATAACGCGTATCATAGCCAGATGTGTCAGATGTATGAGAAAGAAGCATTGTTGGAGATGTTGGACGCGCGTTATCGAGAGAACCTCTTCTGGATCCTTCTTCTTCTCCCTGCAATGGATCAGACTCGCCGTACTCTTCTCCATCGTTCTTCGAAGAAGCAGCATCAACACGATTCACTTGAAAACGAGTTCTTTTATCAATTTCACCGAGTTCGACACCCCATGAACTTCGCCGACTGCTGTCAGAACCTTTATTGTCCTTTTCGGACGGCATTTTCCTTGTTTTATGTCACAAAGTAGTGTTCTGGAGGTCCACGTGCTAGTCCCTTATAGTTCTTGGCTCCTCTCTTCTATTCACTTCCATGCACGGCCACAGCGTACGGCCATATGAACTCGTGTCTTGTGCCGGCAGCGCCGCTGCCGCCGCAGATGCCCAGAATCGATAGTTGCTATGGATGACATTCGACTGTATGATTCAATATCTTGTTTCGATATATCGAAACCGTAGGAACCTCCCAAATGTGGTCGTTTAAATTTAAACTATATGAGATTAGTGAACATTTATTATCTTATTGTGCTATAAGTTAATTTTTTATGCGAATTGTCTTGTTTTTTTTATACACATCAGTGACGTTTCTTCTAACCGTCCTAAAATCATCATGGGTGAAGATATCAGGAGAAGGGTTGTAACAAGTTTTAGAAATGCCATAGATTTTGAGCAAAATAATAATGATGTAGTATGTACTTTTAGTTACAATGTTACTTGGGCTGTATAAGTGTACATAATTGGTTCAAAGAAGTACTACTTGCACTTGTATCAACCATATGCAAATCTCAATATATTTCAGGAAGCATACCGCAAATACTTGGATGGAGTAGCCTTAGTTGCTGCAGCTTTACAACAGGATGCAGAATATACATGGGTTGCCGGAAACTCGAGTCTTTCTGACAAGGAAAGAAGAAGTTTGTTGGGTTTTGCCAAACAAAGTGTTGATAGGTTAATATTTCTTCTTGATAAACAAGGTACAATGTAAAGTCTTTGAATATTTGTTATACATTTCAAATTATTTTAAATTGTTAAATATCCGAATATTAATTGAATATGCCCGTACTTTATGGGAATTTTAGATCCAAGTAATATTTTTCGAGGCACAACAAATGCATCTGTGGAAAGCAAAGATAACCTTGTCAGCAGTCCTCCAGCTGTCACCCAAAGCACTTCAAGAAGTGAAAGAAGCATTTCCAGAGGAAATTATAGCCCAGCATTGCAAAACACACTTGGTAATTACTTGAGAACCCATATCTATGTATGATCCAAATCAACATTTTTGTTTTTCATCTAATAACCTATAAGTACTTATTGATCCAGGGGGGGGAGGGCATGGCCTAGATGGCTAAAGTTTTTGTTTATTTTCCTTTATTTAGCAAAATTGTTTGAAATATTTATGTTAGAATTATGTAATTTAAACAATCATATTGTAAAGTATCATTTCTACAGTACATAAATAATATACAACATACTAATAAAGTTCTATTATTTAACAAAAATCTGTGATCGCCCCCCACCATAATGATTAGCTGGATCTGCTCCTGTCAATAAGCATTAATATTTACATGTGATTACTAATACAAAATTAAGTTTGTTAACATGTTTGAATATTATTTCTTCTTCATTAGAGCAAGATGAAGATATTTCACCCATTGCCCGTATGAGAAAAGAAAACAATCTATTGATGACCCGATATGCTGCTCGTCTTCAGACAGCTTCTACAAAATCACAACGTCATAATTTACAGTTGGAGTTGCAGCGTCGTCTTATGGAAAACAATGCAATAGCTCAACAGCAACAGGAAGTATGGGAACAACAGAGGAGTAAGGTCACTGAATGGTGCCTGCAGGTAGCAGATGAGTGAGTTGCAAGTTAAAATGCTAAGGATTTTGAAAATTTAATTGTTAGAAGTATCTAGCACTAATCTTTGTATACTCTGAATAATAATTAAGATAAAAAATATATTGAGTTTTTAAAGCATTTAAGTAAATTAAATACTGTGTGCTTGATTAAAGTAATTGTTTCATTACTTCATGGCTGTTACTTTTCTTTTCGAACTCACATGGTTGTTAAATGAAAATCTTCATGCAAGGCTCCTTTTTTTGGTGATTCTTCAAAAATGTTTTGCAAGGCTTAAAGTGACCTATATTGAACTGTTGAAGTTCAACATTCTTCAATTAAGATCTAAATTATAAAGTTTGTGATAATGGTGAGAAAAAAAGAAATTGTCAACAAACAACAAGACACGTAATGTAATAATCTTCAATGCAATGACTGATAATGAGGTGCACTGCATAATTTGTAATATGCTTAAAGCTAGAAACAGGTATTATTTTATTTCAACCATTTTCAGGAAATTCAAAATCAAAGAGAAAATTGAGAATGGATCCATTACAGAGGCTGATTTTAAAAAGCAACGACTTTTTGCTGGAGCATTGCAGTATGAAGAGGAACATTTATGGTTGAAACGATTAAAACAAGATTTACTTTCATCTCCCAAAGATGAAATACAACAAAGGTAAATTACTTCATTTAGATATTTTGAATGCAAGATAAATTCATTAGGAATATTGGGTACAATTTCATTGTATTTCTTATCATTTGCTCTTTAAGAAAATAATTTGAATGTATCACTGATGCTCATTTGATGCAAGAGTTCCTTTGGTTACAATGAGGTTCTAGAAATGTTACATGTAATCTGTATTTTTGTGGCATATGAATATGATAGTGATAACATGACAGTGTTTACATCCTGTTATTTATCAGACTGTATAATTATCAATACACTATTTTGTATGAATTAAAACTAGGCCTACATGGAAACTAAAACTATATAGTTCCTTTTAAATGTTTTGCAGAGATATTGTTGCACATGTGTTAAATGACAAACTTCATCCGCTTGGTAGTTTAATGGGTCAGATGCAACATGCTATTTTGAATAAAATTCACCCCTTAATCAAGGTACTGCCAGAATCTACAAATTCTGCTGCACCACAAATGAACATTAATAAAAGGAATCCAAGAATTGTTTCTCCAAGTGAAGATGAGAGTTCAGCTGACAGGAAACAACCAGAAAGTGCAAGTCTTGCTAATAGTTGCATTACTGAGGAAGGTATTGCCAAAGAAGAAAGAGAAGCTCTTCAACGACATTTTAATAACATTGCAGATGGTAAGTTATTATTAGGGGGTGGATTTTAATGAAATGTAATTTGTTTCCTTTTCACTTCAGAAATGTGTCTTTAGTATAGATATTTTTTATGTTATGATGTAAGGAAATGTCTTATTTTTGTACTGCAATTTTTTTTTTGGGGGGGGGGGGGGCATTATTCCTCAAGTTTGACAAATAATGTATTGTTATAACCTTTTTCCATCATTTTTAAAGCATTTTCATGGATTTCATCAATTTTAATGTAATTGTAATGACACTTGCTTCTAATAATATTTACCAACTGCAGCAAATGTTCACCACTGAATTCCTGAATAGCCTATTTGATTTCTTCACTCATGTATTGTAATGTCAGTCCTTGTGGTTACTATGAAATCTAAGGTCCCTGTGACACCTGTCAAAACCTTTGCCGGTTCGGTCGATTTCATGATAAAGTTGGAGATTTCCTTGTAAAGAACAATTGAAACCAATAGATTGCATGCTGAGTTTACTTGAACGAAACGAAGAAACCTTGATTACGTCAATAACATATCCAACAGCTTGAGTTGTTCATCTGGACAGGTTTTGATTAATTTTTTTGGGGCATTTTAAGAACATTTTATTGATCATTTTTAGCAATGATTTAGGCTATCAAAATCTGCCTCCTATTTATTATTATGCAATGCAAATTACTTATCTTTTCTTAATACATTAATTTTGTAGATATGAAGCAGGATGTGAAGCTTCTGGAGACATTATTATGTGCATTGTATGAGCCACTTACAACTGATCCTGGTGCTAACATTTTGACAGAATTACTTCATGAATTATATTTTCCACCCATTAAACCTGCATTAATTAATCTGATCAGGTAATAAATATGAATAAATGTGTCTATGGTCATTTTTAAGTGTCATGTAATTACATTTTTTCTTTTTCTGAAGACTAGGAATAGCAGATGTGGAGGAAGAACTTGTGTACCGGATGTCTTTAGACAAAGAAAATCAAGAACTGTTAGAAATGGATGAAGAGCTTGTGAGAAGTTGCTGCCATGCTTTACACAGGCTTACTCTTCTTGGCAGTCCATGTCAAATGTTGGATTCTCTTGCTGCAATATTAAAAACACTGGCAGTATCTGAGGATTCACAAGCAAAATCCATGTAAGTTTTGAGTACACAGTTTGTACTGTAGATTATGTATGATGTAAAATGCCTTGCAATTCTTTTTTCCTCCTAAAACTTTTACTGCTCATCCCTCAGCTATTCCTAGACCAAAGAATTGAAACTGTTTTTAGATATACTAGTGTGAGATGTTTTAGAAAGTGATTTTGGTTTTAAAGACTAGGACACTACTATTTTAAATTTTGTTTTTAGCGGAGCAGATGACCTACTTCCTCGCTTAATGACAGTTGTGATGTCAAGTGGCATGCCAAATCTTTTAGCTGAAGCAGTTTATATGGAAAATTTCATGCCAGTTAACAGAGCCCTAGGAGAAGCTGGGTATTGCCTAACAGTCCTCCAAAGTGTTATGACATGTGTCCAGATACCTACAGGTTAAGAAAAAATTAGTCTTTCAAACATGTGCTTCCATTCAAGTATGAATAGAGCAAAAAATCAAACGAAATCTTGATGTAAAGCTGTTGTAAATATTAGTCATTTTCTCTTGATGAAAAAGAAAGAGAAAGTTATATTTAAAATTGTGATATGTATATTGTGTAGCTGTATTTATATTATGTTGTCCAAGAACTTATTTAATTTTATGATTTATGTTACAAGGGTGAATGGAATGTAAGAAACAATTTAATTTATTGATTTCTGTTGAATATACATGTCTTTAATTCTGACTAATAAATATATTTATTCCTTTTACAATCTGTACCACTAATGTTTAATGTCATTTCTTCTCTTTAACCAGTGTCTGAGAATACTACTCTTTTATAAATTCAAAGAAACAAAACCATAGATTATAGAGAGAAAAAAATACAGCAAGCCTCATCTTCCTATTAAACCATAAAATCATTATTGTTATAGCATAAGACTGAAGGTGTATACAGTGATGAAGTGCACAAATATAATTTTGAAGGAATTGAAAGATGAAAATGTGTTTCTAAGAAGTTCCTTTCAGTATTATGTATCTTATACACACACACACACACACACTGGTAGAATAATTGCATATGGCACAGCTTTTAAGTATCTATCAAGTCAGACTTAAAGTTCTAAGGCTATTCCCATTCCTTTCATATTCAAGAAAAGAAGGAATGTAGAATTGTGTGTAATGGTGAAGGCAATACTCATAGCATAGAGAAATTATGGTATAGTCTACCCTTATCTCCTTATCCTACATCCTTAGGCTATGTTCATAGCACTTTATCTTTGTTTCTGGCACAATAAGACTTTTTATTTTATCATATAAATGCAGAGTATTATATGTAGTGTAGAGAAAGTTATGTAATGCTGTGAAAAATCAATTTCATATTTCAATGGAAATACATGACCTGGGGTCCCCTGATAACAAAAATTGTTTTTCTTTTTTTTTTTCTTCTTTTTTTCAAATCATTCACCAGTGTGGAAAAAAACACCAGTGCCTAAAGTATTTGTAGGATTTTTTTTTCAAATTAATATTCCCTCATTGAACTGCCCCAACCTTAAGCTCAGCAATTTTGAAAAAAATCTTTGAATTTTAGGGATTCTTTACATGACGTCCCTGGGATATTCTCAAAAATTGCTCAAGATTTTTCTTTAAATTTTTTAAGTATATAATGAAAAAAATATGGATAAAGATGGCTTAGGTCCAAATTTCACTGTTAAATCTAAATTTTTGAAAATTGCAAAAGTTTGATATTTTCCCTTACAATTACAGTATTGAAGATAGAGATTATTATTTCTAGTGATTTTTTTCTTTACAATTGGTTCTTTAATTAATGCCTAACATTCATTTGAAAGTACCAGAAGTTTTTGCACAATTTCGAGTGAAATATGGGCAATCTTAAAAGAGGTAGTTTAATCTCAAAAATGGCTCCAAATTTTTTCTTCTTACTTATTATACGGATAGTGATAAATCCACTGTATAAGATAACATAAACGACATTCTGTTGAACTGTTTTGTTTTTAAAATCACCCAAATGTAATTTGTTTATATTTCTCCCATTGTTAATATTTACAGAACTGATGATTTGTACATTATTGCATTTGTGAGAACAAGTGCTTAAAATTATTTCCAATGAAAGTTCTCAAAAAATCAAACATTTTCAGTGAAAGTGAACTCAATTATTCATTTTCAAAAATATTCAAACATTTTCTCAAAAACAAGTCCAACTTTTTCAACAAAAATATGCATATATGAACAGTTTTTACCATTCTAAAATATTCTTAAAGGCGTATTTGAATTATGTTATCAGGGATCTGAAATAGTGACAAAATGTGAAAATATCTTTTAAGTGTTAATAGATTACAGCTGAGAACAAGGTGGGGCAAAAGTGAAAAGATAGCCCAGACTTTAGAGATAAGGAAACCAACTAGTACAAGAAAGTCTGTGCCATTCTGTAGCACCACTGGTTTAGATTTTTGGTGGCCAAGCGTGACAAAATAATTCAAAACCTTCCCGAAATAGCTTTTTGGACTAGCGTTTTCTCCTTCCAAAACCCTTCTAAAAACCAAAATAAATTTGCAAACGTTCTGTCAATTAATTAGCAAGTGTGAAAATAATAAAAGTTCTGGATCCTTTTTTTGTATCTTGATAATCCAGATCTACAGGGAGGGAAATGAGAGAAATTTCCCCCTGAAATTTTTCAGTAACTATTAATTTTAACTTGTGAGACTTTCAAGCAAAAATATTTTCGGATTATCATTAAAAAAAAATGTATTGCAGCATGAGCTGAGTGTAGCCTGCAACATACTACATCTGTAATTTGACATGAAATCATTTGTCAAAGAAAATATTTTGAATTTCCCTTCCCAAAATTCATCTCTGAATCTGTGCCTGGTTAATATAAGGTATGATTTTACTTCATCTTTTTAATAGCTCAGAAGCAATGATCTTGAATATGATGACGAAGCTTTTTTGTAACCTCCATTGAGTTTGCTGAACCATATGCTCACTTCAATTAATACCCAAGTGTATTATTGAAGTGTAATGTTATCTTTGCTCATCAAATGTTGAACCCCTCTCCCTCTACTAAAAAAAACATGAGCTTTTTTCGCATTCATAACTCAAGCAATTTTCAAGAATTCAGAGAGTTCAATGAAAATGGCACTGCCCCATTTTTTTAAAAATTGTCCTTATCTCTGACGAAAAAGTGTAAAGATAACACTTCGAGCCATTTTTGAAATTTATTATATACATCATGATATCAGCAAAAATTACCACTAACTATGTTTTTTTCCAAAAATTGTATATGATCATATTTAAAGGTATACGTTTTTAGAAGAGACTTCATTGAGGAAGAAATATCTATCATCAATATTGTAATTTGCACTGTTAAATTATTGCAATTTTCAAAAATTAAGAGATTTATAGAAAATGTGACATGCACAAACTTTTTAAGAGCTTCCTCTAACTGAGGGGGGAATGTAGATGTTTTTAAGAAACTTTTGTTTTTAAAATTTCTTTGATTACACTCAAATTATTGAAAACTACTCATAATTTGAAAAACTTGCTTCTTATGTTACTTCAAGATCTACATTTGATGAACAGATTGTGTTTTGAACAAAATCACTGTAATCAATATTGTAGTTGTAGGAAGAAGTATTACTATTTTTGAAAATAAGGGAATTCAACAAAAATAGGGACTTTGCCATATTTATTTGCACTTTCCTCCGTTCAAGGAAAAATGTTATTTTTGAGAACATTTTCAACCGTCTTGGGGGCATCTTAAAGTACACTCCAAAATCAAAATATTCGTTCAAAATTCAAGGGGCCGCAACATCAAAATCGATCAGGAAATATAAGTTTTGATGAAAATTCTGCCAAGCCGCTAGCGTTGCTCGTAGATGGACGGACAGATGAAGTTGTTTAATACTTATAGGACTAACAATTGTCGATTTGTACTTTTCTCGTATACGTTAGAGAAAATTATGTAATGCTGCGGAAAAACTATTTCGAGATTTGAACGGAAATACGCGTTTTGGGGTCCCCTGATACCGAAAAAATTTTGTTTTTTCCGCCTCAAAAACGTCCGTACATCAGTTAGTTGTCTGTGAACAACACTAGCGTCTAAACAATGCATAGGAGTTTTTCTAAATTGAATAAACCCCTGACAATTTGGGGATCTTAGCTCTAAGCTCTGCAATTTTGAAAAACATTCATTAATTGTTGGGAGTTATTCTTATTGAAGCACCTGGGACATTGTCAACATTTTCTCAAAAGTGGCTCCAAACATTTTTTTAATGTCATAAGAATAGAGTGAAAAGCTCTTATAAAAGTGACACGTGTCCAAATTTCACTGTTAACTCTGATTTTTTTTAATTGCAAAAGATTGCAATTTTTCCGACGTCTTCCTACAACTATAAAATGAAAGATATTGGAGATCCTTCATGTGAAATTTGTCCTCCATAACTAGTTTTTTCATTAATATCATGTACATTAAAAACTCTTATTTACGTTGGTAAACCCACATTTCGCCCCTTCGCTACCAACCTTCTAAACAACGCTTTAAGAGCGCGCCCATAGCAACGGCCATTAAATTGCTCGAGAGTCCATTAAAAATATTTTAGCGGACTGTCGGGTTTAGATTTTATCAATGCTCCTATGACTTTCACGCAAAACACAATTTTTGGGAATAAATGTAAACAAAATTTATTTTTACAATTATTTTGGTGCAGATGTATTGAAAGTGGTATGCTAGCATAATATTACTTAATATAAGTTACTGCCTCAAATTTTCCTGTTCGTTCGCCAATCACAATATAAATCATAAGCTTTCTCATAGGTAGTTATATATTTAGAAGGCATCAAACTCGAGCTTGCAGCTTCTACTTCCTCCAGAATATCATGTAGTACGAAGATATCTTCTAATACTTCTGAAATTCTCGTGCATTTTTCTCAATCAGCTTGCATTAGCAGAAAAAAAACATTCAACTGTTTAATCACAAACAAAGCATCCAGAATCACCAACCGTTGTACAGAAAATCGAGTAATGACAATTTTTAACTGTAGAACTTAACTCTTCTCATTCTTTATTTTGAATAAGCGATCAACTTGAAATAACAAAAAACCCTGTATGTAACTTCTGTATGTAGTCTTTAAGAACTCAGACGGAAGGTTAACTACTCGGCTTCGCTTCGCTTAGCTCCACCTCACAGTTAATCTTCAGGCTAAACTCTTAAGACTCATTTAGAGAACTCGTGACATAATTATTTTTTACTTGTTTCCTATGTCGTTAATGTTTTCATTAGAGGCGATTTGTTTTCATTATTGCACTTATGAGTGCTTGTGCGTAATAGTGTCTAATAAATTTTCTTGAAAACTCGAAAGTTTTTTGTGAAAATGAGTTCAAGTTCCCCACTTTCATAAACGCTCAAATCCCATTTTCTCAAAAAACTAGTCTAATTTTTTTCTTCAAACTTTTCGTACGGATAGTGTCAATTCATGTGCGGATCCACGGGGAAAGAAATGAGGAAAGTTTTCCCCCTAAAATGTTTCAGTAATTTTAACTTCTCCCGTAACTTTCAAGCAAAGTTATTTTCGGATAGTCATTAAAACAAATAAAATTGTACCGCAGAATGAGCTGAGTGTAGCCTACGACATTTTACATCTGTAATATGACACATTCGACCAAAACATTTTAAATTTCCCCTCCCAATATGTGTCTCTGAATCCGGCCCCTGGTTAATTGCACTGTTTAAGATGACATAAAATTCATTTTGCTTTATTCGTTTTTTTTTAAAAAATACACAAATTTATTTTTTCAATGTCTTGCGCCTTTAATGTGCACAATTCCAGTGATTCGTATACATTATTGCATTTATGAGTGGAAGTGCTTGAAATTACTTCCAATTAAGTTTTTTTGAAAACTGAAAAGATTGTAAAAAAGAGCTTCGCATTTACAGTAAGGCCTAAACGCCATTTTCATAAAAAGGGCTCGAATTTCTTCAACGAAAATTTCTTAACAAGTATTGTACTTCAGCTTCTGGGTCAATGACCCCCATCTCGATCAGGTTTTCGTCCAGTTTCCCTGATCTTCGAGCAAATGCTGAGATAGCTCCTTGTTTTGCTTCTGGACATAAATGTAACTTCAAATTAATTTCTCCCCATAGCACATCACACACATTTTTTAACTGTTTTTGACATAAATAAATGAATAAATAAATAATATCTGTAACTGTGGAGTAACTTTCACGAAACGCAGTAAATTCGGAGTGGGCGATTGTTTTTATCTCCAAATTACACAAAAATTACTCATATTTTCAAAAAATTGAACATGACCTAATTGGAAGAGATATTTTTATTAAACATATTTCATTAGAAAAAAATCTATCTTTAGAATTGTAATTGTAGGAAGTCGTCGATTTGTTTTAATTTTTTTTTAGTGTATGAAAAATCAGGTATTTTAATGATCATGAGACCTATATCATTCTCTTAAGCGTTTCCAATTTGTAAAAAAATATTTATAATATTTATAAAAAATATAGGAAAAAATGGTTTAAAGAAAATAAAAGCTGCCTATGTTTGACACAAATTTTCGCAAAAAATACTCATGTTGAAAAATTGAACGCGACCTTATTTGATGAACACATGACCACTTCGCAGATTTGTTGTGGTTGGAACACTGTCACATTTGGTATTCCATACATAGTTACATTCTTACTGACAGGACGAAATACAAGATGTTATCGCGTTCAAAAAGTTTCTAGTCTTGTCAGTTAGAGACAAATTTTAGTATTTCGAGTCTCTTATGGTGGCCCAGATAATAACAAGGTTTCGACGTTTCTCCTGGCGGCCAATCCAGGATAATAATACAACTGCTCCATGTCTACACGATAAATGAGTATAGAGCGCGATGCGGCGTAATTTGTGGGCGGCCGACAGCCCTTGCTTGGAGGGCTGCACGCGACGGGGCTGCCACCAGGCGCGGGGCGCGGAGACGCGGGGCGGGGTTGGCCTGGCCGGTGCGTGGGCGTGGGCGTGCGCAATCTTCATGTAATGGTCTATTGCGTCAAAGCAAATATAATTCCACTTATTGACTTCTCGCCGCTCTACAACTCGCTTCTAAATAACTATTCTTACTGGCGCTCTCCTAGCAAAATGACCATTCTCTCTTCACAGTCTTCTTTCTCGACACATGTCCGAACACCTCCATGTCCTTTGCAAGAAGGGCTAAATGGTCAGTTGCCCGGCCTCTCCCGGAGGGATGGGATGGCATGACGTCATGACGGTCCTCTCCGCGTTTGCCATGAACCGCATGTCCGGCGGTCGAGCCGCGGGCCGCAGATAACAGGGCGCGCTGTTTCGTACCCTATCAGTGACGCACCTGTGTTGCGGGGACCCATATTGGCGTCGCCGAAGCAGCGTGGGTGTGTTTGTGGGGTTGTGAGCATGGCTTGCCCAGTTTCTAAGGACGTGGTCAGAACGGAGTGACAGTCGCCGGCATTCGGATATTGCCACTATAACTCAATGGTGCAATGCCAGAATAATGCAAGTCCTTCACTTGCATTCGAATAACACAAAAATCACTTCATTGGGCCCTAAATTTTGTGGGTCTATTTTATATACATATTTTATTTTACATACATTCTTGATTTTCTAAAAATATTAATATACATAAATACGACATAAGTACGTCTATAGATTTATTGTCTTTTGCGTGTACCTCAATTTCACAATGCAGTTGGATATGTGCAAACCACTCATTGTAAAATTGCTTTGACGAAGAATTTATTTTTGAAAAAAGCCTTATATTATTCTTGTAATGTTTCATGTCATCTGCTTTACACTAGCCGCATTAAAATAATTAGATAAACCATGTTTTTACTACAATATTTATGTACAAAACCTCTATGCCTGCATTGAAATCATTTGCCTTTTAGAATCACATCTTGACAACATTATGTGCAAAAAACCACAACATATTCTCTGGTTCACATTTCACAATCTTGTCCTATGATTTTCAATGAAGACTAACTATTTGTTTATTCTCAGATATTTTTTCAAACATCAATGTTTGTCTGACACCCTTTGGATATATTCAATGAATCTTCTCCAGAATTACAGTTGCTTCACTCAACATTTTTCATAATCATCTTCAGAAACTGTAATAGTTTTCAAAATATATTTTTAATCCTTAAGTAGTAAATTATACTTTACTAAGCTTGTTATTACCCTATTATTAGAAAAAATGATAACTAATATTAATTAAAAAATAGTACACAAAATAAGCATCAAACATACCAATATGTTCAGTCCTCAGATGGCATATGAATTGGCATGGTGTTCCAATGGCAGTTTGTGGCCAAAATATCCACTGAAAGTTCAACAAAGTTAAACAACAATGAAAAACAAAAACAAATAATATATTTCATTTATTAATTTTAAAAATTACCATTTTAATTGTATGATATTCTATCTTAAAGTCTGGTCAATAAATCATATCCTCTACAAGTTACCCTATTTATTTTTAATACCATTGAAAAAGCATATCTAATGGATGATTGCCATTGCAAACATTCCTAAAAAACAGCACATGCAAATCTGTTTGGATTAGCAGCCATTTTCAGGTTTTTGCATGCAAATTCTGCAAACTTTGCGCACATTTAATGCAAGATGTTCATTTAAATTCTTTGATTGCACAATTTAACTCCTGGATTTTTTCCGGATTGAAGTATAATTATTGAACAATAGTACATTGGTTGTTTAGAATTGACAATATTTATTATGTATGATTTTACACTGCTTGTGTATTTATTAACTGATAGTGGAAGGTGAATTATTAGAATATGTACTTACCTTATTTCTCAGAACAACGTTTTCGTTGTTGAAATACTTGACGCAAATACAATCATTGCCTTTCAATTTCCTCCTTTTCTGGTGAAAAATTTAACCTATTTCTTTTTACTATCTTATCACTTCGATACGATTAACAAAGATATTTGATGTGACATATATCACTACTACTATCACAAGGTTTAAGGAAGCATTTTCGATCCACTTTGGAAACTTCTAAATTAACTCCAAAATGGAATGAAGTTTTTACGACGAAGAAATCAGCTGTTCACCGTGCTGTCAATAGAAGCCATCTTGCCCAAAAAAATACCCAGTTAGATTGCAGCGCTTATTTGCGAGAACTTTGAGAACTATCCTCAAATGCTTCAGTTTTAGACTGTGGGTGAATAAAAAATTTTTTTATACGGAACGAGCGAAGTGGCTCAGTGCGTAGCGCGCTGAGTTCGCAATCGGGAGGTCCGAGTTCGATTCCCGGGCTGGCCATCCTGTCCGGGGTTTCCGTGGTTTGCCTCGGTCATAAGGCGAATGCTGGGATAGTTCAAAATGTCCACGATCACCTTTCACCAGTATCCTATCACCTTCTAATATAATAATAATATTTCATAGGCGGGGACAAAGTAGCTCGCGTCCGTAGTCTACCACACGTGTCCAATGGGTAACGCTGATTGAACTACAGTGATTCGCCACCTACGCGCTTGACCATTGTGGGCGTGCGGATCCCTACAACCTGAGGGGAAAGTCTGCACGTCTATACCGGTCGGCGTGTCACCAAATGGCTATCATGCCAAGGGTGGGCGTTGGCTAATGACAATATTTCTTACACCGTGTCTCAACTCATGTTTTTGTAAAATATTCGCAGCCTTCTATTATTTATGAAATATTCTTATATGAATGCCAGAATAGTTCGACAAGTGAAAGTGGATTTTTAAAAAGGTAAAGGTGGTGGTGATGGTGATGGTGATCATCACGATGATGATGATGATGATGATGATGAAGAAAAGAAAATTTGTTCGTAGAATGCATTTAATTCTATTATATTAAACAAATAACTAAAATACTATTCCAGGCTAACTAGAGAAACTGTTTCTAAAAAATTCTTGCAACCAACAGTAAATACCATGACAGAACGAAATTCTTTCATGAACAAAATGTTTCTACTTGACTCTCACGTCGTTAATATTTACATAAGCTGATTTTGTTCACAATGTTGCATTTATGTGTACATATGCTTTAAATGGTGTCTAATAATTTTTTTAATTTTTCAGTTTTCTAACAGTAGAACGAAAATATTACTTTAAGAATATTACAGAAGAGTGAAACCTCAAATTATAAGAACATTTTCGTTCAAAACTTTCGAGCCGTGGTTTGGAAAATGTGTTAGCATTGCTGTAAGTGTGAAATTTGAAGCTCTTTTTCATAGAAAACTTATGAGTTTTCGATAAATTTCATTGGATGTCATTTGAAGTAATTCTACTTACAAATGCAATAACGTACACGAACTGCTGGAAATGTACTAATGGCGTGAAATACACATACACATACTCAACATGAAAATCATTAGGGATAACACGATTATATTTATCGCGCTCCTTTAATATTGGCATTCGAACATTAAAAGTTCAGCACAGGAAGCTCGAAATATTAAAAAAATACATAATAAAAGGTGTAATATTTATATTTTTTATTATTTAAAAACTTAATACATTAAATTATATCGAATTTTGGTTAATTTAGTCAGGGACGGATTAAAGGGTGGGCTAGAGGGACGGCGACCCAGGGGCCCACACCAAATATAAAACATGGGGGATATTGTGAGTTTTAACAATAGTACACGATGTAAATTAAATTCCCCCTTTTTTTAACTTTTGACTACCACATATGTATTCACGCATTTTGATTGTACGAGGTATTTGTTACATTACAAAATTGTTATTTATACTTTAAAAAATTTTATTACTTTTATTTGAACTTCAAATAGCCTTTTTTTTGTATGACCGACTTGCAGCACTACAAAATAACATCATTTGTTTGCTGTATTTTATTTAGAATTAAATGTATGAAATATTTTTATAAGTATTCTCTATACAAATTATTTTAACAACTATCTCCAAATATATTACAGACAATCTGTACAGTGTTTCGCGACTTTAGTGTTTGAGAAAATATTTTTTTTATTTTCAGCGTTTTTATATTTTCAACATTGGGATCTAACATGGGGCGGAGCTTTAAAAAACATGACGTTTATGAATTTTTAAATGAAGTAAACGAAACTAAGCTATTGAAATATGCATTTTTGAGAACGAGTAACACATGCACTCATTATACCTATGGTGGATTTTGCGATTGGAAACACATTTTAATGGATTCATCATCAGATGATGGACGCATAGTTCAAATCACCGTGATCTTTCGGTACATGGAAGAATGTACTCCTGTTGAGAGAGTTCTATTGTTCTTGCCAAATAAAGGTCACACAGCACAGTACGCGTACAATTATGACGGTTTGAGTAACTTTTAAATGCGAATAATTGGGGTACTAAACGTTGAAGACAGTCTTATGACAACGCTGCTGCCATGAACGTTGTACAGCGGTCTTCCAAGATCTCATAAAGGCGAACAACGAATTAGCTGACTGGATTCTTTGTGCTGCCCACCTCGTTGGCAAAACTGATGTTGTGATGCGTCGAAGTTTCTTCAAATTTAATGACAAAATTTACACTTTTTACTGAGTTCCAAAAGTACAAGGCACGTACAGAGAATTTGTAAAATCTCAGTTGGACTCAAACAAATGTCATTTTAATGTCACAAAGAGAATAAACACAATCCGTTGGTCCTGTTGTGCGGATGGTGCTAAAGCATTGGATTTCGAAATAAAACTTAGTACACTGTTGTTCATCTCTTAAGATGTTGCACATTTCAACATACAAGGTTTGCGTAAACAAATGTGCGACTTAGAAATTGGTATATATACAGAACTTTTGGAACGACATAATGGAGTCATCATCGTCTTCTAAACCTTATATCCCAGTTAGCTGGGGTCGGTTTTTTCGGATCGGTTACCGCGATCCATGAATTGACTTACATTTTTATGACCGACTGTCAGTCTGGCGTCAACTTCCAACTCGGAGGACCAAACTTCGTGACTTCACGTAATTAACGAAATCGAGTTGACAACGCCGATTTTACGGACGTGGACGTACAGAATAACCATCACAACATTTGCCTAGATGAGCGAGGGAAAGTCAGGATGGAGGTCGAACCCGGGCCTCCCGATTGTCAAGTCGGCGCGCTACACCCTTATCCACTTTATACGCTCGGTAACGTCATACTTCATGGAGAAAATGCAACAAATAAACTTTTTCAGAATTGTAAGCTTGATTTCAATACTGGTGTTGCAGCTCTAAAAGGGTTTCACCGAGAAGGAGCGTGACAAATTCCAAAACTACGAACAGTCAGAAGTGGAAGAAGCGTGGACTTACGAGTTCACGATATCCAGGACACGTTACCGAATTCTTCGCTTAATCCCATTAGACTAAGGACGTGCACCAGACGTTGACCTGTCATCATCTCGAAGATTTTACATCAAAAATTACCTCCTGGTCATTGATCAGTTCATAACATCATTGAATCAACAGATTTCAGCATATGAATTGATTGAACACACAAAATTGTTCATTCACATACACAATGTTGTCGAAAATCGTTGGATTGAACGTGTTCAATACCCAGAATTCTACCAACGATTTGCAGCAGAAAATAAATATTTCAACTGAGAATATTATATGTACAGTTTAATAATACAAAAGCAAGTACAAGAAGCTTTCCTAATGTGGAAATCATTTTGAAAATTTATCTTACTTTGATGATAACCAGGGGCGGATCCAGAGACGAATTTTGCGAGGGAACATTTTTTTTGTTCTAAATGTTTTGGTCGAATGTGCCATATTACAGATTATGAAGAAAGACGCAGGCTAAACTCAGCCAATGTGGCAATACAAGCTCATTCGTTTTAATGTTTATTCGAAAATATTTTTGCTTGAAAGTTTCGTGACAAGTTATAATTCATAATTTTTAAAAAAATTGGGAGGTGAAATATCCCTCATTTCCCTCCCCGCGCCAGTGATAACTAATTTAACTATTGAAAGATCGTTTTCATATTGAAAATAGTTTTAAAAGATATTACAACGGCATTAACTCAACAGTATCTCAACGATCTTGCCATTTTAAGCAGCAATAACGAGAGAGAGGTTCTATCTGAGAGAAGTTTTGACGTTGTGATTCACGATTTTGCGGCAAGGAATGTCCCCCTTTAACGTAGTTAAATGCAAGTATTATATGATAACCGAAAATTAATAAATATAACAAATTTCAAAGGTCGTGTAATTCACCTAAGATACCTCCTACAAATGTTTGCACAGGAATCCCCACAACAGGAAATTCGGCCCTTTTACAATGCAAACGTAAACATAAGCATAGCGCATAGACATAAACATTAACATAAGTAATAGAGTGAAGTATCCGTAATGTCTAACATAAACGTAAGCAAAATTATAGTTGCTATTGGCTGTGAGATATTCTGGTTTACTATTGGTTGGATGTGAGAATCGATTTCAAGGTATCGTCTGTGTCCATGGCCCATATGTTTATGCCATGTGCCCATACGTTAGTTCTTCTATCGACTTCCCTCCAATTTCGATTCTGTATTTTGGGTTAATGTTTTGTGATTGGTCCATTTCTTATGTCCTACTTAAGTATAAGCACAGAAGCTTGAAGCTTGCAAGCTTTTAAGTTAACGTCTTACGTGTTATGCTTATGCGAACGCATTGTGAATGAGTCCGCATATGGACGTAGTCCTAACTTTTATTTTAACGACGTGCTTATGCTTATGTTTGCATTGTGAATGGGCCTTTAGTGTTCAAAGTTCCTCCACTCCATGAAAAAATACGAACCTTTTTGGGACTGTGTTTATGAACATTCTGTATTTTTTTCGAACGATTATTAAAGTTGCATGTAGATAATACTTCTCTCAATAAAAATAATTAATTTAATTATCTAAATAAATATTTAAAAAGCAGACAGTTTATAAATATGTTCGAAAGGAATTTCAGGGGCCCGAAATTCGTTGTCACTTTTCATAGCCGATGAAAAGGCACGTGAATCCAAATGCTTCATACATTTCATTTTAGTACTCGCATAAAGTAGCACCTTAGTCTTACCTCTCTGTTCATGATAATATTTGCTTCGAACCATTTTCAAAATGAACTAGTAGACGCTTGACATGTCATGATAGAATAGTACTTCTTTAAATCAGATTTGTGAATGAGAGGTGCAGTTAGAACTTAAACAGAAAGAAAGAAAATATCACCGTCAATAACAAACATGATAAAACAAAACACACCTCCGCAACCGTACAATAATACAAAAATTTAATAATTCTCTACGAAAGGCTTACGCATATACCAGAGCTTGCCTCTCAACACTTTCCGGCCAAACGTTGTGTCGTCAGTTTTGGACATCCTTATTGCCTACTAAAGGCTCCGGTAATACCTCGTTATTGCAGTGCACATGCTACTGGTCGCGTGCTTGTTAATGATGTTAGGCTCTGCAACAATTCTAATAGTTGAAAGATTTTCTTGAGTGTATGGGTTTGTTTTATGTCCTGGTTTGGAGATGGTTGTCAAATACCCTGTTGTCAAAACGTTCTCCCTTAAGTTTGAAAATGTGTTCGCTATACCACTGTGTTGGTAAAAAATATTTACTTTTCCGAGAGAAAATTTAATTAATAATTCCGGCCGATATTTCACAACCGCAGGGGCAGAATATGCACCCACTTAATTCTTGACGATTAGGGGCTGGCCTACGGCTTCTGTTCACAGGCGGTTGAGTCATCCTAAACGCGTAAATCATCAACAACGTCCCCTCATGCCCGACGTAATTCAAACCACTCTTTAAAAATCCCGAAACTAATAAGAACGAAGGGTGAAAATTTAAGGGAAATCGTCGAATAGTTTTGCGTCTATCTGCGCACATTGCGCAAAATACATATTTCATGTAAAAACAACTAACATTTACAAAATAATCTACATAATACACAATTAAAGAACTAATTATATAATATTTTTTTTATAATTGTATTAAGGAAAATTTCATTTGAAGAAAAATCTACATCTCCAATAATGTCGTAAGAGATACTCCGAAATATGTAACTTTTGCAATTTTCGAAAATTCAGAGTCAACAGTACAAATTGGAACTATACCGTGTTTATAACCGTACTTCACTACATTCTTCCAAAAAAGTAAGGAAAAAAGATGCCTTTTTTGAGAAAATTATTAAAATGTCCCTAAGGGCTTCATGGAAAGTACCACTAAAACTTGAATTCTTTTCAAAATCTCTGGGCATGAGTTGGACCAGATCTATTAGTTTTCTATTTTGTGAAAAATCCTACGAATAGTTCAGGCGCTAGCGTTTTTCACAAACGGCCAGAAGTTTTCGCGAAAAAAACACCTTTTAGATTAGGGGATTATCTGCAACTAATATCAATTAATTCGAACTGGAAGTAAATTCATTTTTTTATGTTTTCAATGAAAAAAATGAAATAAAAGGTCACGATGAAATTGGGGCCAGGGGTAAGATGTCCTCCCCCCTGTACCTGTTTGTTTCACTTCAATTTTGAAGAACTGGGGTTAATTACTTCCAAATTTTGAATGGACACTTTAGAGGAGCCAGGAAAAAATATAGAAATTCATCATCACAAACTAATGCTTCAAAATTGGTTACACTAAAAAATGTAAGATGCTAGAAATAATGCAGCCTGAATTATATCTAGATGGCATTGTTGATGGGCTGAGCTGGGAGGGACAGACGAAGCAAGTAGGACAGGCAGAATGGTTAATCCTATTCAACTTGGCAATAAACATGTCATACTGTGCAATATCCTATATGTAGCATAAAACTCCAAATGAATGATTGGATGAATTGTAAAGTAAAACAACACAACAATTGGCTTTAAAGACTTACTATGTTGGCTTTTACTTTACTCTTGTAATTATTCCATAACAATCCTAAATTATTTAAAATTTCAACTCATATACTAATAACAAGTAAAAGACTGAAGATGGGTTTCTCTTTATGCCTCGTGAATTTTATGAAATTTTCTACTACACTAATAATTTTTTTCCAAATTCCTTCACTTAACTAAAACCCTATGATTTTTTACTGTGTGTATTTCTATTTCAGACCTATTTCATGTGTAAAGAGAAGTCAATGATTATGTGAAAAAATTCAAAGAAATACATTTAGGTAAATAAAGGAAGATTACATCAAAATTTCTTATTTAAACAATGTAAATGTGAATGGTTTCCAATCAATCTTCATAACAACCTGAAATTTTAAGTGTCAATTGTAATTGTAATTGGACGGATCAACATGAGAAATAATAATGTTATTGATAATGTGTGTGCATATGTATGAACAATTAAGACTGGTACTATCACTTGTAATTTCTCATCTTTTAAATTTTTTTAACGACTTGCAATTAGGAACATATTATAAACTTGAACGTTATTTAACATTATAATTTAATTTTTACTTAAAATATATTTCAATGCCAAATTTTCACATATATCTGAAGGAAGATTTATTAATTATAATATGATTTCATTTTTAATGTCAGTTATTTGTGAAATGTTTTCTTTCTTTCATGCAAATCTGTTCAGTGAGATATAATATTAATGATAGCAATGCGTCTGATTTTATTGCCTTAGTCTTTCCTCTTTCATGTCTGACTGCAAACATTTTTTTTTTTGTTTTCAAAACAGAAAAAAGTTTGTCTGCATTACAGTATGAAATGAACATGAACAGTATTCAATACATATAAATTCATTTTAAAGATTATGATGTAGGGTGAACACTCATTCATAATATGTCACTATGCTCCTTAATGGAATGCTCTGGCTTCAGGCATCATTTGCATTTTAGTATGATAAAAAAAAATCTCTCAACTTTTTGAGCTTGAAATTTTCTTTTAATTATGTTGTAATACTGATATTAAAACTTTAAGTTATATTTTTGAATTTAAAATTTCTTGTTATTTTAAAATATTTTCAATATTATTCCTTTTCTGAAACAAATTGCTACTTTTATGAACATGCCTGCTTACACAGCTGTCTATTTTGCTTGTAAGTGTAAATTCCTCTCGTTATGTGTTGTGATTTTTGTATAAATGATCTGATAAAGGACAAGATACACTGATAATTTCTCCTGGTAAAATTGGATTATTTCAATTGTATTAAAAGAAAAGGAGAGACAAAAGAGAACAAGATGCTATCTGTAAAAGGATCATAACCAAAAGGATAAGGAATGGTAAAGGATGTAGGAGATACAAATACAAGTTTATCACAAAATGTATGGTCCTTGAATATATTTCAATTAACACAGTTCATGTCATATACGAACTACACAGGATATCCTGTGAAGTACACTTCACACACATCCCAGGTTAGTAGTTTCCTTCATTCAGTGTCACATTCTTTATCCTTCAGAATTTCACATTTTGGTCTTCAGTGCTTGATATGTAATTTTTTTTAGCACAATTGAATTCCAGTATTCCACTCCTTCTGAACTTGCATGTTGGATGCATTCCTTTCCAGAATGTAATTCACAAATAAGTTGCAATAGAGGCATACTTTTAATGCACCACTTTCAATGGGATAAAATGTCTTGAAAATTGTACATAAATTCAAAAATCAAACATACAATTTAAAATAAAGAGACACTTTCTGAATACCTTTGTTAAGAAGAGCCAGCTTTAATTCAGTTGGCATCAGTGAAGTAAAAAATTGCAACAGTAACCAGAATTTCAACAATGTTGCTCTTGTTTGCATTACACTACAAGAAAGTTACACTGAGATGCACATACAACTCAATCAATAAGTCATTCTTTTCTTTCTTTTTTTATTTTTGCTCTTGCTGAATCACTAATTCCAACTAATTTTCATTTGTTTAAAAATTTATCGACTATCAATTAAACAGTATAACTGTGATAAGTAGGAATATCCATTTTATTGTTTTAATTAAGAGAAGTCTCAAAGATATATTACATAATTATGCAAAGCTGAAGCTCTGTTTTATTATTGTTTAGTTTTACCAATAGATTTATTAAACCTTTTAATTATTTGTCAACTGTTTTATTTCCTTTGCTTAGATTCTTCGTACCAAAACACTCTATGGTAAAGGTTACAACTCCTGTCTATTGTTATCTACTTTGCACTAAATTTCTGAGTCTTTTTAAACTATTACCTTGCTTTTTAAAAGAATTGAAACAAGCATTTGCTAAAACATCCACTCACAGCCCACATCAGCAATGCTGGGAAACCTCATGTATCATCATCCATCCAGTTTTATTGGACTGATTCAGCACCCAATGCATAACACCCTAGATTTAATCTAATTTTATATTAACTGGAATTTGAAAAATCACCCCTTTCTCAATTTGAATAAAAAAACACTTGTTATCCAACTTCATCCGAAACATTATCAACACTGTACCTGTTACAGATATTCTTTTTGGGCCAGCCCATTACAAGTCAGGCAGAAACTCAACAAATTTTTATCACCATCTACATGATGGATACACTCTAACCTGGTAACTAAATGAACAATCCAACTGTGTCAGTCTTGAGTGATTTTCATCGCCAAACTCACCATTTACCATTGCACAATGTACTCACTTTAATAGATTTATCTTCTTTTAACAGGGCACTTTTACACAAAACACTCTCTTCTCATCTTGCATCAAACTAGATTACACATTAGTTACAAAATGTAACTCAATTCCTTCTTGTCATGTATGTGCAAGGTTCAATGTGTACTTCCTGAATATAATTTACCTGTAAGTTTATTTTAGGATAATTAAAATCACTTCCATTACTCCTTTTTTGTTTGTGTGTGAATAGTTTTGGCAGCCTTGCAGATAGCCTTATCCATCTGCTTTCGGCATGTGCAGATATCTTATTAATGAGGGTGTACAAAATGTACAATTTACTAAGAACTAGAATTTAACAAGTTATCTACAAGGCTGACTGAACAAACTACAATATTTGAGGATGTAACACCCCCTGGAAATAGTCTGAGTGCTTAAATTTGAACAAAAGTAGCCTGATATACAACAGCTACAGAATAGTGTTTCTCATCCAGTTATCACAGACTTGTGTCTTATTTGATTGTTTTCATAGCCAAAGAGCAGCTGTTATCTAAAATCACTGCACCACCAAACCAATCTGAATCTATTCTTCCTTGTACAATAAACTTTACTTAAGCAGCAAATAACCACTAAATGCATTGATCCCGCAAATATCCATTTCAAACATCACACCAATCAGGTATACTTGTAAATATACAGAACTTGCTCTGGTTGACCATAGTTCTTAATTTGATTTGTGCTGCTATCATCCCCATGTATTTGAGCAAAGTCATGGATTTGAAATGTCCCAAACAAGCTGAAGAGCAGATTCTATTTCAGCACAGCCGTTGACCCCGGCGGTAGCTTCTGTCAGTATACCCATGACACTGGAATCCACTGTGGAGTGGTGTGAACTCTTTCAATAGCCTTCTCAAGAGCTGCAATTGTTTCTTCAATGTCATTGTTAACAATTGTTAAATCAAAGAAATGACCATAAGCTTGTCGGAGAAGATCAGATTCTTTTGCCAAACGTTCAAGACTTCCATCATACTGCAAAGGAAATTCCTTCTATGAAAAATTAACTACTTGCTCTACAAATATTTAACATTAACCTAAGATAATTTTAATGATCCATTTCAGACTTTACTTACATCGGCAAGATTTTGAAGAACTGGAGCTGCTATAAAGACCACATATGGCGCAAATTCTGCTGTTCTTAAAACCTTAAGAGCCTGCGGCTCTACATCTAGAATAGCCATGCGTCCTTCCTGATGAATTTTTCTGATTGTCTCAAGTTTTGTGCCATACATTGCATCTTCATGTGTTCCTAATAGAGAAAAAACACAATTAAAATTCCTCTAGTAATTTGTCTACTTTGTCACTGTTTTTGGAGCATCACCTTACCATATTCCAGATATTCATTTGCTGCAATATCAGCCATCATTTCATCATGAGAAACAAAGTAGTAACTTCTTCCATTTTCTTCATCAGATCGTGGTGGTCTCGTTGTGTCTGTATACATTGAAGAAACCATGTCTATTTGCTGATTTAAAGAAGCATATTCAAAACATAATAGGAATAGGAATAAATTATTCGGTGAATATTACTCACGTGGAATGGGATATGCATATTTATCAGGATTCTTTGCTATCAATGTGTTCTTAATATGCCTTCGGCCAACTCCATGTGCTCCAAGTAGAACTAAGGTCTTCCTCTGGAATGCTGGATCAGACACTAGCGATTACATAAACATTCATAATTAATTTAGCCAATCTCTATTCTACAATAATGTGCTTTTAGTTCTTCCTTCAGATCAACTCAGATCTTTTTATAAAACTTAACCAAGAAATTTAGTCACGTCAAAAAAGAGAAACAATGTAAAATTAAGAAATTAAGAAATTTTATTTTCTCTACTAGAATTCTATTATTCTCAAATAGTATTTCACTTTGCACTTTCAAAAAAATGTATGAAGGAAGCAACCCAAGCCAATTTTAAATAAGAAAATTCTGAAAGTAGGAAATAAAATAAATTTAAACTGAAACTGAAGTGAATGAAAATATTTACGAAATCAAAAGTTAAAAATTACAAACCAAGAGGTGAAATTTACAATAGAAAAACATGATCTACTTACATGGTAGTTTAACAACTTCTTCATAAGTAACTAAATCTAATTGGTCAAAGACAGCATTGTGCTTAGCAAGATACTTGTCCTTATACTGCTTCTTCTTACGCCCGAAGATTGAGCAATTTACTGCAATTATAAGACACATCAATAACATTACTTGATTGGAACAGCAAACATTTCTTTTATTACTGAAACTTGTTTGTTTAAATACTGTTAAGTAGGAATGAATTTTGTAAGTTTATTTAGTTTTATGTTATTACTGAAGGCAACATATCTCTTTATTTAAATATAAATATCATTTAGACGGTATTAATCTTGTAAATAAGTCCAAACATTTTAGTTATGTATCAAATATCTTTATTCAAATATATATTAATATCCAAATTTATTTGCACACAGAATTAAGTTTAAAAAGGGATAGATTTATGTCTTGAAAGATGAAATTATGAATCATTTTTTAAAATTTAAATTCCCTACATTATTCAACCAAGATACAAAGAACAGATGAAATTATTTAGGAAGGTATATAAATTTTTACAAGAGAAAAGAGAACTGATTAGTAATAATATGTTACAAGTGAAATGGGTTTTCACAATGAAAAAATATAGCCAAAACTGCAGTAAATAATATTGCTCTAAAAGATTTAAGAATAAAATATTACAAAACAGTACACTAACTACTCTTAATAAATGCAAGATGAAAACTGGAAATGTGTTGGTCAGGGAGTACATTATTTATCATATGCATTAACTAGATAAAACACGTTCCAGCAGATCACAACAATAGCTGCATAAAAACAAACACAACACAATAAAATAAAAAGGCAATTTTGCAATGAAAATGAATAAAAATTCATTGTAAGCAAACTAACTAAATAAATAAGTTAAATATAATCACTTAATAATACATAATACACGCCATGAAATTATCACGTTACATATTTTGTGATAACTCATGAGTTTTATATAAGCTTCGGGTGGTCCTATATAACAAAACTATGGAAATAAAATGGTTAATATTGCAAAATTTTAGGTCATACAGTAGTATATAAGATTATTTATAAGTTGCCATGGGTCCTTAACAAAATATACAATGCCAATTTTAACAATATAAGAAGCACATGCCATTTATTTAAATTACAACGAAATACTTTCATAGTTCAAGCCTCGTAACAAATAAATAAAGCCAAATTTGTGAAAATCCTGACATTATTGAAAATGCACAATGTCAGTGACAAGCAAAAGTAATATGCATAAGGCACACACAGCTCTTGAAGAATGCCCCAAGTACTGAAATAAAAGTTAGCATTAGTAAGAAGTCAACTCAATAATGGATTTACCTATAACTTCTAACTTCACCAAACTTTTTGGACACTATTTTCTTGACATAGTGTGAATATGGACACGTTTTACCTGGTGTTTAGAATAATAAGCTGTTCAGTAATTAATATTTATAATTTTTAAATGTGCAAAATAGTGTTAGACTTGTAAATGAAGTGTTTTACTTGTCTCAAGCATTTAAGAGAACTGTATATTGAAAGAAATTACTGGGACATTCTTTAATGCGCTTCTCACTCCTTTTGTTTTGCGTCTGTAATTTGGAACTAATTTAACAGGCACAACTATGTTAAATGTGTACTGTGAATCATTATTGTGTTAAGTTTGATCAAAAGCCCAAAATGTGTGGACATTCACTCCAACATACACCTGTGGGGTTCATTATTACAGTGATGTAGTTTGAGAGTAATACTGAAGCAATAGTAAAACTGCCAGTCATTAAATGTTCACAATCAATTCTTCTACTTAATGCTGTCATACAAACTAAACAATGAATGTACTTCTAAAGATATATCATCATACACTTACATCTATAATAATACACAATGATGTATAAGAGTTTTTCCATACAGTTAAAAATAATATTTATAAAAGTAGCAGCCACTGTGTGTAGTCATGTTATTACAATGGGGCAAAGATGAATGTCGCCAAGCCTTAAAGATTATAAAGTGGACTTGGCTGTACTTTACCTGTCCTTCATGATTTTATTCAATTTTATCAGTACTTGGGCATGCAAATCATTTCCACACTGAATGTATTCAAATATTACTTCATGCCCTGAATACTTTACTACAGTTACATTCAAACATGCAATTATTCATGCAGTCTACCAATTCTAATTCAATGTTCTTCCATTGTATGCTATGAGCTACTTTGTAATATATTAATGTGTCTACAAGATAATATAACTGAGAAATAAGTGCTATTCAATCACTATATAATGCACTATTAATTATTGTATAAGAATCCCTTAATATAAAGTTGTAGGCTTGTTTCACTAAAGAACGGCAATCATGAATATTAAAGCATGTTCAATTTTTCTTGACTTTTGTAGCAATACATATGCAAAATGATGTTAATTAGAGAGCATCAAATTATACATTTCAAATACCCAAAATTCGATTTAAGATTTAATTTAATTTTTTATAATTCTAATGAAATTAATTTTATTATAACTTTATATATTTAATAAACACATGAAGAGGTATTTTTATGTGCCTAATGCTTCTACATTGCTACTTTTTCATATCATAAACACCAATAAAACATCAATAACAAATCACAGTTTTGGCACTTTATTACACTGTTTCTTTTGTGTCTGTGAATTATATATTGAGGGGGAACAGCATGCCCCATACCTGTTGTGCCATCACATCCATCTTTGTGAGAAGTGCATCCTCCATCCGTGTCCCCATCTACAGCATACCAATAACCACAAATACAAACAAGCCACAAACGCAGCTCACTGCTAATTAGGATTGCCAACAACCAAAGATATTTAGAAGTCTCACTTTCTGGAGTACATAGAGAAAGCATTGATACAAAATTTAATTCTGCTTGAAACTTTATAAAAAATAAACTCGAGATCATTCAACGGACAAATATTCTAACAGAGGCAGCTGAAAAATCAAAAACCTGTTTTCTATTACTTGTGTTCTCTTCATGGAAGGCATCCTTGGGTTTGCAATTGCAACTCCATAATGTGTTATTTGTTTTTTAACAAATACCTCTCTTATAAGTATATCCATTCATGTCCATAGTTGGCAATCCCACATCTACCTAACTATATTCTACTAAAATTAAAATAAAAACAACTCATAAATAAACATAGAAAAGTACTGTGCAATAAATTGGAAGTTTTGAGTAGTTATGTCCACTTTACTCATACATTGAGAATAAATTACAGAGAGGGAACTTCTTTCCAGAGTCACAGTGAGCCTATTGTTATGACAGTGGTTTCATGTGTATGTATAAAGTGTTAAATCACAATAAATATAAGAAATTAAACATCCTGCCAAGGAATTTGCGGGAGTCCTGCACTGCACTATAATAATTAGGATTTTTTCCAAATCTTTCATTAGATTTTTGAAATACCTTTGGAAAAATAAATGTTGTTAATGGTACATTATTTTAAACACAGAACCACTGATCATATATATATCATTTGTCCACATTTCCATGAACACAAATAAAGCAGATTTGACAAGAAGGAAAAACAACAATGAAAAATAGATTGTCTTCTACTACAATAAGTAGTAAATGGTAGAGGTAAATCAATGAAAATGGAGTGTCACATTAACAATTACTACAATCATGGCAATATAGACAAGAAGCTGATTTAAAACACCATTAGAACACCTTAAGAACAACACCACATCCATAAAGTGTTACATGTTTTCAGTACCACTATTATTTTCAGAGATGAATGTCTTGATTCATAACAGAACCCAACACATTATAATGGAGATAAGATACTATATGTAGAAAAAGAAGATTAGATGTAGAAGTGAAGTGTATGGCTCACTAAGCTCCTCTGACCACTATTTCACGAAACTGTACATACTGAAATCTGTCATAATATCTAAAATAATTTGAACCTCCATAGCAATATGTATGTGTGCAGTTTATAACCTCATGAGAAAAATAAATAATCAGGGATTGGAAAATCGTAAATATTTCTTGAAATTTAATTAATTTTATTTAATTAATCTGCCAATACGAAACACATAAATAAAATATTTCATTATTATATATTTATTTATTTATATTATTTTGTGGCTCATGACTTCAATACTTGTCTTTCATGCCCAAATTTTGAAACTTTTACATCAAATCTGAGTAAATGCTGAGATGGCATGCTTTGTTTCAGAAAATGTAATATAGCTTTGCGTCCATGTAGATCTAATTATAATTCATTCTAAAAAGTTAAATACCATAGGTGAGTTTGCTAACTATGAGCTATCTTAAAACTTATATTTCCATTACCATAATAAGAGCCTAGTAACTTGATCCATTTAATAAAAGTTTAAAGTCAACAAATACTTACGAAAAAGTCAAACAAATGCCAGAAAATAATATTTGGTTTCATACATGAAATAACCAACAGAAATTAAAATAAATTCTTGACTAGGAAATGTTATGACAGATTATGCCATTCAATTTCTGATAACAAAATTAAAAATAATTCACACTATAACACCCTTCACCCTCCTAAATTGCTCTCTTCTCATTTGAATTAAATGTTTAAACAGAATTTGAAACTTGAAAATTGCTTTAGTACCTTCTTTATTTTGCAGTCATTGTGAATTAGGTTTTTTGCCTTTTTTTCTTTATAATAATCCACTGGTTGAACCCATGCAAACATTCTACCCTTTGCAAATCATAAAAATAGCTTCTGAAGGACTGAATGGCTAAGCCTTAAACAGTGCTTTATCTCATAATAGACCTAATATCAGTAGTGTGTTGGGTAACATTCTAATACTGCTAAGCATTCAATAACAAACAGAAATACTTAGATTCATGTGATTTAACTGCCCAGAAAAGTAGAAATCACTTTAATTTGACACAGATTTCAACATTCTCAACAGTCTGCAGGCATCCATCAATGGGCCTGCATGACAGGAGCTACTTTCAACTGTAATCTTAAGTCCAAAAGGTCTAATAATCTAAATTACAACCTAAGAAACATAAGTAGGGGGTTTCAATGGCCTGTGAGCACTGTTTAGAGTTATGCAGAATGGCAATGAGCATTGTGGATTGCAAATGTGCCTGTTAACTTCTTTATCTATAAAATTCTACATGTAGTGTCTTACATGTTTTTAATGTACACCTGGGGCTAATTCCCTATCCAGCAACAGCAAGTATACAAGTTTCATTTTGTTTGTTTATGATATTTTATAAGAGTTATAAAATCGTTATCTTTCCTTAGAGTATCAAATACAGGTAGGAGATTTCATAGCCTTGCAACATGTAAGGAATTAAGAGACATAATAATGTACATTTAAGGTCCCTGTCACACGAGCATTGCATTGACATGAGTTAAGTAATGTATGTTGTAGATTAACACTGCATCTTATGAAGAACGGCCAAAGAGCTTGAGTGCCGGTTCACATAAAATACAGTGTTATTCTATGATGTATTTTACGTAAATATGTCAATGCCCATGTGCAGGGGCGCTTAAATAACATTAGAGAAGTATGATGTACAAGAATTTGTAACAATTTATTAATAATGTATAATAGCACATTTTTATCCCTTTTACTTTCTCCCCATTTCACTAATTAATTATGGTATTTCAAATATCATTAGTAAATTACGGTACATGAAACTCTTTCTGAACATATAGGAGTAAGATTTTTCCCAAAAATATATTAAAGAACAGTGGTAACTGTATAACATGTAACTTACTTTGGGAAAAAACATTTAACTGCCATAAGCAGAAAACATGGACAAAAAAACACACACAAAGGAATTTAGAACAATACTATATAAAACAATTATGGGTATTTACAGTGTATTTACAAAAAGCTGTTAAAAATATGTTAGTCTATCAGATGAATAAATCCCATCAGACATATATTGAAGTGTTCTTAACTAACCGTAATTTTCACATATAAAAATTCATCAAGTTAAGAAAGGCAGACACATTAATAAAAAGGAGTGGGTAGTTGCTAGATTTACTCTGGCAAGGCACAATAAATAAGATTCCTATTTTCTAATATAGCAAAGTTTTCACAATATAGGTACGTTTAACTCAAAAACTAAATGGCCATGACTACTTATTGCAATTTTTCTAGAGAGCAATGCGAATAAACACATGACATTCACTAAATTATATTACAATAAAACAAAGAGCTCTCTGGGAATGGAGATGAATACCAAAAACTCCACTGCTACCTGTAAGCCATTTACTGATGACTTGCAAACCACACAACCTCATAAGCAGGACTGGTGAAAAGCAGAGCACACAAAAATCCATCATAAAGAATTAGATGATAAATACCTTTCTTGATTTCAAGAAAAAGTCAAAAGTAGCATGATACAGAGATGATGCCACCTTAAGCCTCACAAATTTTAGAGACATTTACAAAATGGCAACTTCTTCTTTATGAACAATGCTTTACCTAGTTGTCAAGTAATATAAAACTTTACCACACCTTAACATACAGAATAATTCACAAGCCTTTTTGCAGCTGATTCTAACAGAAAATACAAAATTCAGCTGGACTGGTTGAGATGCTCGCAAAGTTGCAGGTTGCAAATCTTATGATGACCCTTTCAATGTCATACTCATGACTACTACATTGCCTTAATGCAGTTCTTAGTTAGTGTATTTTGTACAAAAAGGATATAAAAATTGTGTTATGGGAGAAGGAGCATATAAATTCTGAACTAAATTACGTTTAACATGATGATAAATAACACAATAACAGGAATTTCAAAAGCAAAATATATATTCCTTAATTATATTTACTTTCTAAATCAATGACTGTTATCCATAATATCATTAAGAATGATTTTTAACTACATGAAGTCCAAGATGTTAGGTAGAAAGCAGAATGTTTTTGTAAAATATGAAACAAAATTCAAAATAACTTTGTACTTTTTTCCTTAGAATTCTCATAATTCCTCACTTGTCAAGTTAAAACAAAAACAAAAATATGTTTCTCTATTTTTTTTTTTTTGTACATATAAAAAATGTATGAAAATATGTGATCTGCTGGAACTTGTACATTATTATACCCTTTTAGTGACCATATACACATAAGAAACCTGCAATAGAATGTTTACATGTTTACATTATGAGGATTGTTTTCCTTTTTCTTCTTTCATTAGTCTGAATACCGTACACACTGCTGTGCCTAAATGTCGTTTCTGCAAATTATGCAACACTAGAAATTGTCTAAAAGTCACACACTATAGGTATGAAAATTAAAAAGTAAATGTAAATTTGAAAATACGTAACCAAAAACATGACTGTACCTTGTTCTTGTTTGCTTTTTTCCATTGCCATACAAGCTGTCCTCCATTCCTGTAATTCAGGGGAGGGTATGAGGCCTGCTGATCCAGCAGCATTGTCTTTCCTTGCCTGCCACCAATTGTGGTCATCTTTACTTATTATCTGTAAAATGGAGTTAAATTAGTTATAGGGTATAGTAGAGTGATTAGTACAAACACATTTTATAAAATGTTCACATTCTTCTTTTTGTACCTAATAAATTTGGATAGTTATCCTCCCATTCAGTTCTTACGTACCAACAATTGCAACATGTGAAATAATTCATCAAAATTTGAGCATGCTGTAACAGTCAATTGAACTGAAGAACTCGAAATACAAGTTATTGAATGTTACGCTGGGCCAATTACTTTCCCAAAACAAATGTACTTTTCAAAACAAGGTTAGCATTCAGAGCAGATTAATCTCAGTTATTTTTGTACAAAATATATGAAACAAATTAGAAGAATATTTACTATTTGGTACTATGATTTTTAAAATCAGTCCCTATTATCTAAAGCCTAAGTGTTTCTAGTTCTAGAAGCCACTAAATGTTGGAGCAATGAAAAATGAAACAATGTAATTAAAAGTTGAAAAATTCTTGTATTGGAATATTTAAGTCTTTTGTTTTCTGAATTTTCTCTCTTCTCTTGTACATTGGTATTTCAAAGTAGCTATATTAATAGATAACTTGAAGTACCCAGCCTAAACAAGAGGAGGGGCCAACTACATTTCCGAGCCCCCCTTTTCTCTGAAATATGACAAAATTGACTAGTTAACAAGTAAAACCACTACAAGAATGCAATAATAATTTTAAGAAAATTGCTATTAAGGCGCTGGTTGAATCTTAACAGAAAACAGTAATGAAAGTGAATAATTTTATTTGATTAATTTTGTCAATGTGCAGTGAAAACTGTATGTGAGGAGAGAGAGAAAAGAACAATCTGCACATGTTTTCTTGAGTTCTGGAATCCATTCCCCACCTTTTAACCGTAAATAGTTGAATGATGAATAAAAGTATCAACAAAGTAACTTATTAACATTTTAAAATAGACATTTTCCCTCGTGAGCAGGAGAAAATTGTTTGCGTTGGTGAATGAACTACAGATTTGATTTGTTAGTATTTATAAGAAAATAGTAACCTTCTACTCCTACCACAACTAGCAAAAGGAGAGCTCAACTAAATGAGTGCATAATGAAGCTACATTTATGTTCAGATCAAAACAATGAGTCTTTTCAGCATTTGCTCAATGGATCTGGGAAACTGGACTAAACCCTAATCAAGATGAGGGTCATTGAACCACTAATTGTGTTTGACAATTCCTCATCATCACCACCACCGTGAAGTAACCAGAAAGTACATTTTAAAACCTGTTTCTATTGGTTCATTGCAGTATTCTTGGTACATATTAATTTATTTCTTATTCTATTTTTTATTTTATAAAAATTAATTTCAACATCTTCCCCTCTTGTGAATATGTATCATTGAACCTTGATTAACTAGTAACTACATTCTCTAGAAGAAAATACAATAATACACACATTTGGATTTGTTTTCAACAATACCACCAATCAAAAATTAATCAAATTAGTACTTTTGAATAAACTCTATTAATTTATTTTACAGACTTACCTGAAGGATATCACCAGTTTTAAAGGCTATCCCAGCTTGTGCACAAGGAATCAAATCATCATCCAAGGGGTCATAATCAAATTGAGCTCTGACAAATATCTGGAACAAGAAGAAATAACAGGGCTAGCTAAATAGTTCGTATTTTATATTCCCCAATTAATGGATCTGGAAACAATGCTTGTTGATATTTCAAAGTCATGCCAATATTATAAAAACATGCTTCCACTATGCTGTATAATTATACAGAAAGTGAAGCTAGAATAGAAGCCATATGGCAAAACTGCAGATGTACAAACAAAATGCCAGTACAGAAGATTCTTTGCCAATTAACCATGAAAATAAATAATTTCATCTCCATGAGAATATTCATACAAAATGATACATTAGTATTATAACTAATGAACAATACACAGTGTTTTGAAATAATGGATAAAAAATATGCAGAGAACAATATTTGAAGGTGTTTAAATTGTTTCACACAAAATTTGACCACAGTTCCATAAAAATTAAGGATGTTCTTATAAATGTACTCTTATGCTTCCTAGTGAGTTCTTTCTATTGATTCATTCTATTATTATTTTATATTAAAAAATATAGCAAAAAATCAATGTGAAAAATAATTGAAAAATACAATCAATATTTTATTCATTGTCGTAAATCCATATGAAAAGGTGAAACACAAAAATTACATTAAATATATACCTATTAAATACATAGTATGATTCTGAATGATGGCGACTTGTAATGAGGTCCATCCATAAATTACATTATAGCTCAAACTAAGCACTTACCTACAGTACAGTACAAAGTAAATTAATCTAATTTATTATATTTTTTAATATTTCTAAAACATACTTCCAATCAGAAATATTGTACAAGCCTAAGAATATTGTAAATGTGAAAAGACAACTAAAGACCTTTTTTTTTGGTATTAAAAAGTTTTTGAGCAAACTACTGATTGAAATTCTTGTCAAAATATTTATAAAATCCATATTTTGCATTACTACAAAAATGATGGGGAATGGGATAGGTACATTTAATGGCAAACATTACAATGTCACTTTATGGATAGGACCAAACTAGTTATATAGATAACATATCATTTTGTTTGCCTTTGACAAAGAATACTGTTTAATTTAATATTTAATTCACATAGGTACATGATAAACTGCGTAGATAATTAATTAACTTGAAGAAAAAAGTGAAAGTAAGATGTACATGAGCAGATGTACCGTTCATGACTGAAGCGTCCTAAAAGCTCTCCCATGCAAGGCTATTTCTACATAATTTATGGAACTTTCCGTTGTCACATTATTTTTACATGGGCTACATAATATATTTGAAAATGTTAATATAACTAATCTTCCCTTACTGAAACAATTTTCAGAAAATATATTTTTACACACAGGATGGGGAATAAAAATATTTTTAAAAATCTATAAAATAAATTAATAACAAGAAAAGATTTCGAAACTAGTATATTCTTTATTGAAGTTGGAGAATCAGAATTGTGTTAAATGTGGATTAATTTTGAAATGTATGCAATATTATTATAATTTTAAAATATCCGTTTTCAAATCCTACATACTACTTAAATGTCAGAAGTGAAATTACTGAATTCAGAATATTGTGAATAAATGACACATGCTAATTATTGTTGATGATATTCGAAAAAATTGCTCATGCAAAGTTTTTTTTATGATCTACCACGTCTGAGTGTCTAAAAGTATTATTTCCTTAAAGCTGCAATTATAATAAATTAACACAAGACACAACTTGACATAATAAATGGCATTACAAGTATGTAATGATTCTATACAATTTATGAATGATACAACCAATGACACCATATTTCTTTTGTATTTAATGTTTTAAATGTACAAGAATGAAGCAGGAAAGGAGAATGAAAGGAAATGGAAATAAAACTGACAAAATAGCAAGAGAGAAAAAATAAATGTTGAAAACATGTATTTGCTTACTAACTGGCTTTTAAAAGAGATATATATGATTTAAAAGAACTGTTTAGATAAGAGTTAACTGAATAATGAATTAAAAAGTGAAATTACAAGTATAAATGAATCATTTGAATCCATTATTAAAAGTATTACATGAACACTCCACTGGGCAATCAGAATGGAAAAAAGGATACTTTAACAATAACAAATTGGTCATTTTAAACTTGTGAGATCAAAACTCCACACAAAAGCAACCATGAACAATATTAAACTATTATTTCCATTAACATAAAAGAAACTTCTCTTCTGAGCACCCAATGGAAGCTGTAAAAATCATTTAACAATTTGAATATTTTTTTTAATAGTACAAATATTCTACAAGAAATATAACATCTACAATACATGTTCACATGCACATACAAGACTTTCAGTTACAAAAGCTGAGTATCTACGAATGCAATAATTGGCTAATTACCCATCTATTTCATGCATCCAAAAACCACAGTAGCAATGCAGACATCACACCAGACCAGATGCTGAGAGGTACTTACTAATACTGGAAGAGGCCTAATCCTGAACAACTATATTGTGTTGGGGAAGAAAAAGGAGAAAATACAGTTAAATTCTAATTCACAATATAGTGAAATCATTCTAAATATATGATTTACTATCAAGTATGCTCTTTGCTCTAAAATAAACAAAGCCATCTTGAAATGGTGTCTCATGCATCACAATTTTTACTTATTCAGTGTTTAAACTTCCTTCTCCATTTATGACTCATAATTATTCATGTGTAATCAGTTAATTGTTAAGCAAATTTTAAAATAGATATTTTTTTAAAACTATCTATGATATTGGAAGTTAAGTTTCTTGAAGACTTTCCAAGGGAAAAAACACACTGAAAAAAAGAATTGGTTTGTTTACTTAGAAACAAACGGGCAAAATTTACATTAAAATAAGTTTATTTGTAAATGTGTACATAAGAAATACTACATTACAAGAGAATAAACTCATACATGGAAAATAAGCAAAAACTCTCCAACATTTTGCCATTTTCACAATGATTCATGATTTAAGGTTCATTTTATTCTGTATTTTTTTCAAAATAAAATAAAAACCTTTATTTAACATAATTTTTACAAATATCAGAGATGAAAATAATGGTGTAACTCATTAGAGAACATGAAACTTTAACATAATCATAATTTTCTTGAAGATAAGCACCTTGTAACAAAAAAGTAAATTATTTTGTCTTAAAAATATTCATACATATAATAGTCTTTGGATGCAATAAGTTGATTATTTAATGAAGCACATTAAAAAAGATTTACAAATATTCATAAAAAATATAAAATTCAATTTTTAATCAGAAAGTTAAACAACGAATATGCAATAATATGAGGATTAATCAAAATCAGAGAGAAAATACAATGGTTATGAACTTTGCTACAGAACCTTACATTAAAGTGAACTAAAAACAAATATTCATATTATAAATATGAGCAGTTTCATAATATTTTTTTATTTATTTTAGAGCATCTTTAAATGAGTTGTAACACCTTCATTGAACTAAAATCACATTACATTTAGATCTTTTTAATTTGCATGAAAGAACACTTTATTATCTGCTTCTATTTCAACTGTAAAATACTGTGGCAGCGAGTTATGTCTTCCTGCTGAACATTAGGCTACATATTATTTAATGAAAAATTAAAATAAAATCATGATTTATATACAGAAGTCATAACAATGATGAATGACAAGTAATTGGAAAATGGAGCAAGAAGTTGTGTCAATAAAGTATTTAAATACACCTATTTTAAAGTAAACATAAAAATTTGAGATGACACCAAACAAGAATGGCTATTGCTGATCATACTGTTGTATTTTATCCTCCATCAAAACATAACAGACAAATCAACATCATCTTGATGAACAATAAAGAGAAAGGCACTATCAACCTCTCACAAAACGTCTTGTTGGATATTCTGGTGTGATGATACAACTAACATAAAATAGAATGCCCAAATAAATAATTTAAAGCCTAAGGCACAGTTCTCAAAGTATTTCTACTACTAAGAGGTCAATAGAAACAAGTGTAGATTACATTAAGAAATTTTGTTTCTATGTTTGAGGTCAGGAATTCTGACAAAACATGTGAACAAATAAGAAACTTTTTTGAAAAAGCAATTAATGCATTAGTCAAACCAGATATAATATTAACTTTCCTCTTCCAAAAATGCCTGAAATCTAAGTTAAAAGTAATTTGAAGGCACCAAACATGTTTTCAGATATTATTTTTCTTTAGGTATTCCACACTTGTTTTAAAAGTAATACATGCCTTTTTTATAATATTTTGTTTTAACACATCACATGCATTGGATATCTGTAAAAGGTTTACATCAAATTTGGAGAATCGCAGGAACTCTGAAAATTCCTATCATTATAAGATCAGGCAAAATAAAATTAGTCTAATTTATGCAGGAAATAAAATAACTAATTACAAAAAAATCACTACAACATTTAATAGGATACACTGAACGAAAGGAGGAAATACTTGACAGATTTGCTAAATAAAAAAATGCAAAGTTGAAAATGTTCACTTTTGAACATTCAAAAAATGTTTCGAAGTACTATAGCATGTGCAAAGTCTCTTGAAAAATATTGTTACTGAATGTAGATATGGATCTTGTTTCTTAAAATCCTCTCTTCATTAAAATCTTAGTTTGAGGTATTACTTAACTGGAAGGAATGTGAATGGTCAAGCCAAGGCATTTCAAGTAGCATTTTGGTTTGGATTTCAGTTAATCAAATATTTTGGCTTAGGTTTTTGATAAAATGTTTCAATTTTGAAAGAGTTATGAATAATTTCTGTAATAATTTATAAATCAACAATAATTATAGAACCTTACTATAGTGAGGTTTTTGAAGGTTCCTTTTATGTCTGGGAAAACTATGATAATTGATAATAATAATAATAATAATAATAATAATAATAATAATAATAATAATAATAATAATAAATAAAAAAAATAATAAAAAATAATAAAAAAAAGGGAAGTGAATTTAGCATACCAAGTGGCAAAAAATTATAACACATTTGAAAAACTGAAACTGGATTTGAAAGACTTTCATTCAGGTACAGTTCTAGGAATGTATTCAATGAATGAATAATGGTTTCAGTTTCACTCGCACTATTGGGAGTGTTGTGAAAAGTTTCATTTTCAGTTTCAGTATGATGCCTTGATCAAAATACATCCAAGCTTCATCATGCCACCCAAAAATATCATTAACTGAATATAAATTTCCTGAAAAATCTTCACTGAAACGGTCTGCTGAGGAAACATTAATATTCTCAAAACCTGTTCTTTCAATATTGCTTCAAATTTAAAAAAGTTTTTAATTAGTCTTACATTGTTATAAAAAATGATTGTGCTTGTTAATTCTTCCTTTGGGCTTCACATCATTCTGATAACTGAAATAATGTATTTATTCAATTTTTGCAGGGGTTCTGTATCGTTAGGTCATCCACTAATTTATTAATCATTATTGTTAATATCTTCTCCATTTATTACACAAAATCATTAGAAACAATAGGAAGGAAAAGAGACAGGAAAAATGGACAAAGTCATAAGTAACATTTAAAAAATATTTAGTTCATTTTGAATGGGACAAGGGGACAAAGTAGGAGAAGGGGCAAAATGAGACAATGGACAAAATAAGCCAACAGGGCAAACAGAAAAAGGGAACAAGTGGGAATGATGAGAAAAGGGGGCATGAGGAACAAAAGGAACCGAATGGGACAAAAAGGCAAGGGAAACAGAAGGGACATTTATCCAAAGATTTATGAGCACTGATAAAATCTAAACCTTAGGATCTGCTAAAATATTTTCAATATACTCTCAAGCATTTGAATAGCCATTGCTATGGACACGCTCTTAATGCATTGTTTAGATGGTTGGGTGCTAAGGAGTTAAGCACATATTTACCGTTGTAAATAACAAAATATTTATTGATATTAGTCTTATAATATTGTCTCTATAAAACAAATAATATTGTAATTGCATACCTCTATATATGAAACTATGCAAAATAGGACAAAAATATGTATTTAAATTTTTTTTATACATGATGCACCAATCAAAAAATTCTGAAAAAAATCCAAAAGATAGCTGCTTTTTAGAGCAACATTTGAGAATTTTCTCATGAAACCAGCGTAATAAAAAACTTCTTTAAAAAATTCCAAAGTTTTAAAATCCATTTAAAAGTTTGAATTTTGCAGCAAATAAAATTTTAAAAATTATTTTTTAAAAGTAGAAAAAAAATTCACAAGAAGAATCATTATTTTTAATGGAAATGCAGCCAATTCAATAAAAATATAAATCATTAGAAAAACAACACTTTTTTGTTATTGCGAAGGATGTGAGGTGGGAGGAATTTAAAATGCCCATGAACAAATGTTTTCCATGGTCACAATCCTCACGAAAGATTTTCTTTTGATTTCAAGCAGGTGCACTTTTTAACATCTTATCGGCTAGAGCCTTTGTTGAAAGCATCTTTAAAATAGATAGCAGCTCTCTGCAATTAGGTTAAAATTTATTCCTCTTTTCCATTTATACAAATTACAAAGAAATTTGGCAAACCTCCCAAATGGTTTTTGGAAATTTGAAAAGTATCTAAAAAATTTCTAATTCAAACCTTCTTAAGAATGGTCCATTATTTAGTTCAGGGTATTATAATTTTTGTCATTGCGATTGTCAGAGTTTATAAACTCAACTTTGCTTTCATAATTTACTCCAACATTCAATGCCAATAATAATGACAATATCTAAGACATTTGATTTTCTGAAGAAAGTTGAATAAAACTTTCTAAATATCAAATTTTATATATTAGTTTGCTCACAATTTTCATTATAGTTTTTGGGATCGAATGAATGAATATTAATTATAATTATTACCTTTCTGACTGGTGAATTGCTAAAAGGATTATTATTGTTTCAGAGACTTAGCACATCCCATATGGAATGGTGTAGCAATTGTGTTTCAAGTTACAAAGCAAAGAACCAAGCAAGAGAAGATAAGCTGAAATTGATTATGGAAGATGTGATGATATGAAGATATTGGAGTTTCAAAATTGAATCAGTCTTTAAAGGCAATAAACTTTGCTTCCGTTCATGTAACATCCTCCCTTATGCTGAAGACTGTATCAAAAACAATAAACACAGGACTTAAGAAATGTTTACATTTATCAGTCTTTGATACACAATTAAAATATTAGACTCTATAAGTGTGTTACAAATTAATTTTGAAATAGGTATTTTACATTTCTCTACTGTACATAAATGATGTTCATGAAAATCTTTATTACATCATAATTAACATAAATACATACCACAGAAATAAACATTTTAATTTTATACATAAAAATAACATTTTAAACTTTCTTGTAGGTGATAAAAAGAAACAAAGCAACCCAGAGAAATTGATAATTTTAGAATTAAATGTGATACTTAAATTAAAGATGTGTAAAAATAAATATTATCAACAAGTAACACTTTAATGTTGCATTTTTATGCAAAAGTATTCCTGGAATGGCACTGGACATGTCTGTAAAGAAACTACTAAATAAAAAAAATGAAAGATTCTTATAAAGCCAATTAAAAGATCTTCATGCATTATATCATTGAATCATAAATGTATGTTTTTATGATGCAATGTAAAAGAAATTACACAAATGAAGTGCATATATAATAGATGTGCTTGTATTGTAGTGTTTTAAAAAAAATGGTGCTCAATATTTAATGTAAGGTTATATTCTGAAAATATAATAAACAGAGAGAGTTAGGGGAAGAGGCTCGTAGAAAGACAATAAACTACATTTTTTTACTAACAGAATCACAAAAGTTTTGAAAAAATCAAATACAACACAACATGCACTAACAAGAGGATATGTGCTAATAACTTGCAAACTCATTATTTATTCAACATTCATTTCATAGTGTTTTATTAAAATATATTATTTCTAATATAACATTTCAATATCTTTTAACAATATATTAGATAATTTAGAACAAGATTATACTGTAACAATATTATACTTGAACAATAGGTAGGCATTTAATCCAGGCAGCACCATTATTTATATTTTTAATTTTTATTCATGAAGTGTTATAAATTATTATTGCATTTATAAGCCACTTAACCTGAGCTAAATAATAGTTTTGTAATCTACAGAAAGATTTTCCCTCTTCATTATTCTTTACAATGTTTTAAATTGTTCTGTTTTTTGTTTCTTTCTTTATTGTTTATTTTCATATTCCTAAAATAACATTTCCCCATCAAAAATATTTGTACATATAGCAGTAAATATGAAAGAGACAGAAATACCACTTTCATGTTTTCTAGAGATAGAACCAACATGAAATGAAATTCTGACATGAAATCAACTGGAGTTTGAAATGGAAATGGATAGTTGCAAAGTGAGCATTGCATGAACAAACTTTCGAAAAACATACTATTTTCATTAACCAGTCTTCTTACACCCCCCCCCATCCCCCACAGGTCTAAAAAAGACTATCCAACCTTTGAAATCGTATAAAAGAAAATGTTTGCAAAGGATATCATATTATGGAAAAGAAATAATAAGTATTTAGAGTTCTAGATGCCATCCATAATGCTTCAGATTGTTTTCTAATGAATTAGAATATTAAATCAATTGAAGCATGAATTCCTAAACGACATTAAGTGGTCTCTCACTTCACAACTAGTTCAATGTTTATACTAATATGTACAGTGTTAAACAAATTAAGTTTAATAAGCTTTTGGGGAAAGCTAAATTTTAAAAACCATTAATTATCATTAATTATATTTGTTATATCAATAACAATACAAAAGATATTGCATTACTAATCTGTCATAATATTTCAAAACTATGTAGCAAATAATTTTCAAATTATTGCTTGTTTTTAAACAATAGATCCTTTACCAACAAACAGTGAAGATATTCGCTGATCTGTATGCAATATAGAAACAGGAGACATTTACACTTAATTTCTTTAAAATGAGATTTCTCTCATTATTATTCTCAATATTATACTGATTGTTTGTGAAGGCCCAATTTTGGCTCACTCAATAATGATGGTAATATTATAGCAGTAATAATGCAGATCCTGTTTCAGCACATCAGTTAATCGTGTAATAAAACAATTGAAAAATTGAGTTCTTAGTATTGGTTCTAAGATTTTCTTTTCTATATTGTATTTCTTTCTGGGATAATTCACAAAATTGACACCTTATGTACACAGGAATTCTTTAAAAATGGAATATATACTGAAATAATGGTTAATTAAGGGAATCAGAAAGCTTAATCAATATTTGAGCTGCAAAATTAGTAATTTGTTTCCATTTCAAATTTCATTCTTAATTTTTAATCACCTAAAGGTAGTAACTATTACCTCAGCAAAGAATTTTTTATTATCCTCAAGCTGATAACAGAATTTTGGCAATATAACATCAGAAATCTTTTAGAGAAAGTGGCATTTTGTTTATTACATGCTGACTAGACAACAAAAAGGATACAGTGTCACTGAGAATTGAATTTGTAATGTAGACAATTCACATTGAAATATGCAGATAATTCATCATAATGAATCAATGAAACTGAATTTGTTTTTGTATGATACAATATTGCAGAAAATATTACAATGACATATCTACAAATTTTTTATGAATAACACAACATATTATGTAGGGAATGAAATTTAGAAAACCTTCTTGAAGCATACTTTTTTTAATTGCCTTATGGGGAGAATTAAATTAAAATTACAATAATGTCTTTAGACAAATATTATCAATGGCAAATTACTGATAATTAGTGTTGAACATCTCAAAGTTCTAACAATTTTGCTTTGTGACATGCAAGGCCTGGGGTAAATGATCAATTTCTTAACCTTTGATTCATATGATGTAACATTAAAAATGTTAACTATATGTTAATTTGTCAGTTTCTACAGATTTACATCTTGATTGCTGTAGAAGCTGCACGCAAAGAAAAAGTCAGGTTGATAATAAGTAAATGTGCATCTTAAGGCTTTCATTAGCTCTTTCAGTCTTTGGACAAATACACACAAGTATATTGAAGGAATAAATTAGTTACAGTTGCTCTGCAACTTTCTAGTATTATAATATTAATTATTAATAAATTCCTTTACATTTTTCAAAACTTTAGAATGTATTGCAACTATGATTACAATAAAAACATTCATGCACAATTTATAAATTCAGACCTTTTAGAAATTTTTTTTCTTTCTTTTTGAAAAGTATATTGCAAGGCACAGACTTAAATTTAGTTCTTAAGTTTATCTGAGAATATGTTATACGTTTCAAGAAATGTTAATTTTCATGTAAGTATCACTTATGAAACTTTTTTCATCATCATACGGCATACAAGGAACTTTTAACGCAACAGAATGCTTTTCCACATAAAAGGAAATACTGACAATTACAATGTTAAATATAAATGAGATGTTCTGTATTAACAAGATATCATTATGCATTTGGAAGAAAAGTAAGTATTTTGTATTAGTTCTACAAGAAAAGATTTTTAACATTTTTAATAATTAAGAAAAAATAACAGGGAAGAATTTTAAATCTAAACAAACAAATAATATAATTTAAAATATAGCCAACCATAAATGAAAAAATAAAGTGGCTTGTTTTTCATATTCTAGATTTGATACGTGAATCAAAGACTCAATTACAATCAAATTATTGTGAATTGAGAAGTATTTGCCAATATTTACAATTGGTTACAGTGTATGTGCAAGGGAGAAAAGTTTCTTTAAAATTATTATTATCTTACTTTTGAAATGCCTTCATTCACATTTATCTAGCTATCGTTGCTATGCTTTGCTATAGCTTTATCTAGCTAGCAATCATAAATAGCAATGTTCATAAAATATTCTAGTTACACTTGAAAATTTTCTTTATATACTAGAAGATACTTGTGCATATTTTACCTATAATTTATATTAAAAGCCATCTTGAAATATACATTAAAGGCACATTTCTAAATACATGAATAAACCCCAGATGCATCAGACTCACTTTCTTCATTTTTGAAAGTATATCAATTCAAAATAATCTACATGAAAGAAATTAGTAGCATATAATTCATTTAAATTTCGTACTTCTGGCAGACTCTGCATATTAGTTTTCTTCAATGTTATTGGAAATCGCATTATTTTTAATTCACAAACACTAATAGTTGATAACTATAAATCTTTTCAAAAATTGATAATTTTCTTGTATTATGCATGTTTAAAGACATACAACTGCTATTCATTTAAAAAGATAATTAACAATATTGCACCAAACATATAATCATCATTATCATCATCAATATCAATCCAGAGACACTGTATGCTTTGCACTTTCAAGACAAGGATATATTGTGGCCGGGCTTACTTGTACCTCACAGGGAGGAGGGGCACTCCGATATGAGGGAACTATCTTGAATGTCACCGAACCTCTGGCTTCTCTCTGAAACAAAATTCAAGGGCCAGGTTAATAGATTCAATTCTTCATAAGAGATAGATTACTTCAATTTACTTTGACTGTGATAAACAACATATTAAACTTAAAATAACAACTAAGTAACATTTAATATATGTTTGTGTGTGTGTGTATGTGCGCATGTGTGTATGTCTAATAAAAGACAGTAAATTAACACTATGAGCAATGATAATTTTATTCATCTTAAGAAATAATATGAGTATATTCAAGAAATATCTTTGGCATTTTGCCCTTTTCAACATATGCTGAATAAATATAAAATTTCAAAACTAATGAGTTCTTTTGTTAAATGCAATATCAAACTACTAATATCTAGTAATAAATTTATAAAAATCATAAAAGTATAATGAATCCTTGCTGAGATGATTTCAGATTTAGATATAAAAATACTATAAAATTTTCTAGCAAAATAAATCATGAATATTTCTATGAAAGTAAATAAATAAAAATACGTGAACCATTTTTGAAATTGAAGTTCTAAATTTCCAGAAAAATTGCGTCTCTATAAGAGAAGGATATTCTATTCCAAATTTGGATTGTATTCCGTTTTAATATTCTGTAGAAACAAAAAACAAATTTTTTGAGGTTATCTAATCCTAAAGCAAATGTTGAATTTCAGTAAAATTAAACAAACCTGAAATTATTATCTAAATAGTTACCCACCCTAATGTGAGTACTGAGAGAGAGAGTGCTAATTTAAGATATATAACAGCATAAAGGAAAGACTTTTCTTAATGGTAATAATATAGCAACAATAAAATTTGAAAATGTTATTTGGATTCAAATGACAAAAAAAAAAAAAAAGTTACAATTCTCTCTTTATATTTTCTGGATTCATCTATTATGTATATCAGATATTAGTATAAATTCATTGTCATTTTGCAATATTTTTGAATATGTCAATTAAATAATTAACATTATTTTGTTGACAGTAAATCCAATGTTTTGAATAAAAAATATATTACTCACTCTCAAACATATAAAAAAATGAAGATGATAGAAAATCAAAACAAATCAAATCAAAATCAAAATCAAATCAAATCAAAATCAAACAACAAAGTTACCAGTAATTTCTTATTTTTGTAATTAAAATAATTCACTTCAATGCCATATATACATAATCACATTTCCTAACTACTTCAGGTCTTCCAAAAAGGTTATAACTAATGTTTACTAGGTTCAAACAACATAGAACCTATCTGAGAATCAAATATTCCTTGCAATCACAGATATTTGCTCTACCATCAATGGCATTGTGAAACAGTGAAATCTATAATCACAATGGGAACAATTCCACAAAAATATACGATAAAAGTTACAAAGCTAATGAAATAAAGCCATTAACATAACCAGGATTTTACTAAAGTAGGGAGAGTGGGATTACCAGTGGACTTGGTGTTTTTTCTTCTAAATATTTTTTTGTTTTTGCTGAATTTAAAATGTATTATTGTTTGTTGAATTATACTGAACAACTTATGGGGGTGGGGGTGGGGGGTGTGAAGCCCCAACACCTAACAGCTTGTCTTCATTTCATATAAAATACACCAACATTGAAAATAATTAAGGAAATATAATACAAAATTTAACTTACAATTAACACACATTTAATTGTAATATTTGCTTTAGTTAACATATGTCATTAACATGTTCTAATAAAAAAATCTTCATTTAACATTTGAAGAGACATATTAATTCTCAATGCACATAATTCATTGACAGAAGTACTTAAAGGAATACTTTAAAACATAATTAGGATTATATACTGTCATGTTATGCCATAAAGGCAGTAATTGTGGAAATTATCAGCATTTCATCTCTGTAAATGTCTTGAAACACTCTAAAAAAGGTTTTTGTTGTTTTTTGTTTGTTTGAGAATTTACTGTAAGAACCTGTCTAAAAACAATGCCAAATCATTTGCCTCATTGAAAGGAATAATATAGGTATTCATCACCTCAATATGTACTATAAGTCCCTCAAAACACCTTTTAGTTATCTAAACAACGCAAAAACATATGTTTTTGGAGTAATGCCCATGAACCTAAATGGACTCGCAAACAACCATCTGTCCCTCATAGCCTCACCAAGAGACCGAGACGCGTCGAATGACATGGTCGTTTCGATTGGTGAACGGAAAGGGGCCGAACTTTAAAGACTATAGAACATCACTGATCGCTTTGAGGCGAACGTCGGAGCAACAGCCTTGAATGCGGCGGGTCACAGCGGTTCTTCCTTTCTCCTCTTTCATAAACCATCTTTAGAACTGAAACAAGGGCTAAACACCCACCCCAGAAAATAGCTCCGTCTAGTGTCCGCGATGGCAGAAGTACATTTGCTGTTGAGCCATAAAAAGAAAGAAAGAGTAAGTAGTATGGAAAAACTATCTCGTTATGTATTAATCACAGACATTAACTTTCTAAAAAGAAGCGATAACTCTCTCCTTTTTTTGTTATTTAAGGTCGCATCAACTACTAGGTCACTAGCGACCACTATTGCTTGTAACGGTATGGTAACTGTGAGGATGACACGATATGATGGTGATGGGAGTGAATGGACGAACACAATACAACCATGCCCGAGGCGGGACTCGAACCCTTCGGTCCGAGATCGCTATGGCACTACTGCCGGACCTCTCCTTGATCTACCTAAATATTCAGTGTATTCTAAAATGCTGCATTTAAAGTCTAAATAAGTATTGACGTTGCCAATGAAGATGACATAATTGAAGTTCAATGTCATTAACCAATCAATCACGACTCATTCACACACGAAAGCATGAATCGTATACAAAACAACTACTGGCTTACTTCCCTTCAAACATTACATATTACCGCACGATCAAGTTACTGAAATCAGACTTGTAAGTAGCCAAATTGGAAAAACGGAACAAACAAAATTCTTGGGCAGTAATTTATGTGATTATTTTTGTTCTTTAGTAATGCCAATAAATATGACAATCTTTAAAGGTTTTGGGATAATGCGCATACAAATAATGATGAAGCAGACCCTACGATCGCCGTGACGAGTGGTTGATTAGCTCAAAATGGTAAACATGGGGGGGGGGGGCAATGTTGTCCCTATTATAAACGTGAATGTTGTTTATTATATAATTCATTTTGTAGATTTGTACTGTATAACAAGTCTGTGTCCTATGTACTACTATTTATGGTGATTACTACTTTCTTTTCGTGATTAAACCGATATATTTAGTCGAATTATTATATCCGAAGAAATGAAGCCGCCATTAATCTCTTAAGTTTCATTCAATGCCACTTACCAGGATCTTCTGCAGCGCGTTCACCGACTGGTTGGCGACGGGCACGCCGTTGATCTCGCGAATCTCGTCGCCCACGTGCAGCGTCGCCTGCCGGTGGATCATGCCGCCGTGCATGATGCGAGCCACGATGCACTTGCCCTCTTCGTTCATCTTGAGCGTGATGCCCTGCGGACAAGACACGTTGCATTCCCAGGCAGTGGGGGTTGGGTTATCAATGGCGT